ACAATCAACAGTATATACTCAAATACATCAGATATCATACCGATGGTGATCGTTCTCTGAACTTTGGGATAGGAGACCCAACCTGCTCATTGATTCGGATAATCTCCTCGAGGGTTTCAGGATAGTCAAGATCCGACTTTGCCTGCCTGTCTATGAGTCTCCGTTGCTCAATTGTGATTGGCTTCCTCTCCCATATATCCCGAAAGATCTCATGATGAGTGAGGGCGTATTCCGAGTCCACACGAACGCGATTTTGTGCATCACTCAAAATAGGGAGCGGGTTGGGCTCAGGAGGAGGACAGTCTGTTTCTGCGAGTAGGAATGCAAACAGTGCCTCTTGTTGATCATCGCGAAGCTGATAAACGCGATAAGTCTGCTTATGGCGACAGGAATGAAAGTAGATGTTGGGCAATGGCGTATCTGATGAAGTTTCTGCCCGACGGTCAAAGATTGCTACGCCTCCAAGGATACGATCCTCAGCCCAATACCCAACTATGTCAGCAACTCCATTCGGGTAGATGTCTGCATCGAGATAGGCGTGGTGACTAAAGAGGGTCGGCCGTGGCGGGACATCAACAAGGCCTTCAAGCTCAGAGGCTGGTATCCTCCAGTTGGTAACGTAGTCAATGTCTGCCTTTCCTCTTCTGTGTAATTGGAAGTCAAGCTGAAACAACAGAACGGCGATTTCATGAAGAGCTACTGCTACTAGCTCCACTAGACGTGTCTTAAAAGCTCTAGACCTAATCTCGGCATGCTGATATTTCTCAATGGTCTAGAACAGTGAGTAGCAATACGACAAAGAATATCAAAGACACGACTGACCATTGGATCAAAAGTGAGAATGTCGGAGTTCCACTGTTGATAATACTCTTGGGCCTTGTCAAAAGCCCCGGGACATAGTTCATCGTGGCATGAGTCGATAGGATGTTCACCAAAGACATGAGGGAAACGGCGCTCAAAACACACATCTCCGGTGGGTAGCCCATCCATGATTTGAGCATACGTGAATTGCGCAAGTTCAGTAGCCAAGGCATTTTTTATTGCGCCATCTAGAACATGGCGATGGCGCTCTGACTGGATATCTTGAAATGGGACACGTAGCCTATATTGGGCCGCTGCTTTTTCTTTCAGCGTCTCGGTTAGAACTTTTAGTTCTTCTGGGTCCATGGTGAAGTAATGAGAGAGCATAGATTAAGAGAAGATTGAAGAAAGATCGAGGAAGAGCATAAGAAGTAGACGAGTGGCAGTGTATGATAGGCGGGGTTATGGCTGCCTAATACCTCAGGCCCAATGACACATCTACACGTTTAGGACCTTGATTGAGAGAACTTGTATAGATCAGCCGCTACATATTACCTACAGCGAAGGAAGGTCGTGCTTGTAAATGAGTGAAATATTTAGAAAGCAAAACTATTTCACATCTCAATAGAAGAAAGGTATTATATATACAGTTAGCAAAAGTCGCTGCCTGACTAGTTGAACAACGGCTAGACTAAGAATAGAAAATACCATGCATTGTAAAGACAACAGCCCCCCTTGAACTCATCCCCAGACTCTCCTGGCCGCTAATGCTGTAATCCTCGAAGCCGAAATGACTCGGTATCACCAAAGCACTGTCACAAGTGCTCAAGTATGGTAGATACCCCATCGCATGTTAACTCCCCCAACCAGTCCAGTAAGACTCTGGCATCCCATCACACCAGCAGCGCCAACCTTTCCTTCCCACTGAAACTTCTCAATAGAGCTGTTGATCAGATCAATGATGTCCTGATTTCCGATATGGGCGGCGTTCATGTTTGATCCAGCGCCCTGTGCGCCGAAAGCACAGGTTCCGTACTGGACCAGCTGGTGGTGCTCGCCACCAGCACCGACGGTCCAGGTACCGCCACCAGCGATGTTGCGGGCGATTTGCTGGCAGTCGGCGACTTGGGGAGAGCCTCCGGAGGAGTGGTTCTCAAAGCTGGAGTCACCGCAGTCGTTGACTGACTTGCGCTTGGTGAGGGTAGAAGATGACTCTGTGATGGGGGAGGCTGCGGCGAAGGCTGCCATGAGGAAGGTGAGGATGCTGGTGTTGACGAGCATTTTGATGGTTGTAGGTTGTAGATGTTGGTTGAAAGGTTGATGTGAAGTTTGAGTGTTTGAGTGAGTGATTGCTGATAGATATCTGGGAGAGCCAAGGACTTATATACTCGACATCTAGGCTTTTGACTGCAGTACAACCAGCTCAGCACTTTCAAATAGCCCCATCACCTTAGACATCGGCTAATGAACTTTTGCCTCTGAAGGAATGTCTTTTACAAAAAGACCTATGCAACGCATAGACATATCGCCGTGTCCCATTGGTCTCTTTAGCGATGTTTCCGCAATAGTATGGGTTTCCCTAGTCTGGGTCCATTTTCAGAGTCACCGAATATTCCTCCTGCTAAATAAGCGAAAAGGCAACTTTTCGTATAATTGTCCGGTTGAAGAGATAGTCCCATTTATATTACAATTGTCACTGTGGCAAGAAGACGTACAGTAACTGATAAACACCTTACACTTCATGTGATATCCACATATTTAGATGTTCTTTTCAGTATAGCTAACGTCACTCTGAGCTAAAAAGCCATTGCTTAGTCTAGCCATGTACTCTCCTCTTCCAGAAAATGTGTTACAAATTTATCTAGACCTCTCTTTCTATAATACTGCTCAACCATCTGCAAGTAACTCAGTTCTCTATTTCCGAATCATCTACGGTCCATTCTCGGAGCCGTGAGCAGGTGAGTCGCCTGGTTTCATAAACCATGCCAATCGCAAGATCAAAAAGGTAAGAATATACGACAGCAAATGATCTATAATTTCTCCTCGGCTCACTTGTACTTGCACAGTCGTTCTATGAGTGGACACCGTTCGATTACAAGACCCTTCGGTTCCTTTCAAGATCCTTCGGACTCAGCGCTAGCCCTTTCAAGACCGCTCAATAGCGATGCAGCGGTGACAATCCCTTTCATTCGACAACTTACGGATCTCGCTCGCCGGATCTGTCCACAGTTCCGTGGTCGATCCAAATTTATCACCAGTAGAGAGGAGTCAGTCGGCATTTACAGCCGTTCAATCCTTGACATTTGAGCTCGGAATGACCAAGTCCCCACCGCGTTGGATGCCTGGCCCAGGTCTATTGTAACATCAGCCCCAGCAAGGCCGATCCTACAATGGCTCGAATGGATTTCCTCATCTGGCGCGGCATAAGTTTGATGATCAGGCTCACAAGTGAAGATGAGATAGTGTAACATCAGAGAGACCACTGGGGTGCACTCTTTCATCTTGGCATTGATGTTGCTCATATGTTGAACGGATTCAATAATCTCACGATCTTCGCTGTTTGGTGGTCTTTTTTGGTCAGAGAAGCCAAGCCGAATGGAGAAGCGGCCCGAGAAAACGGTCTTTCCGATTGGTGCAAGACCCTTGTCCCTGCCTAGTTATGGCTTGAAGGGGCAGCGATCTGCAGGGCCCGGATTAATTCCCGCTTATATTAATGGACTCATCGCAACGGGCCGAGGCCAAGATCTAGGTGCAGGGTAAAGCTGTAGCCGCATTGTTATTTCAAGTGAGTCTGTTTATTGATTCATTAAGAGCTTAAGCTTGTGCTGTCCTCACAAAGTTAATTTATGGCTTTATAATATATCTTTGGGTCTGTACTAAACCTGCTTTATTTTAAGAGTGGACGTCTGTTGATGTTTTAAGTTATTGATGACAAAGACAAAGTTCACGTCAATGGCAATACACAACCTAGAGGTTGCAATGTAGCAAAGGAGGATGATTTGTACTTGCAAGCCTTATACAAGCTGTGCTAATAGATGAACTCAGCTTATATGTCGCAGCAAAGAAGGCTATTGACTTTGCAAAATGTGAAATTATCTTGACTGTAATAGGTCCTGATGTAAAATCAGCCCATTAGAAATATAGCTGTTTGGCTCTTAAAATGCTGGTATAAATACATACATACTTATGTTAAACACAATAAGTGCTGGTGTATAATTCTTTGGCTTTATTATTAATAGGTAAGAATAGTTATCTAATGTCTGCTAATAGTAATATGCCGGAGAGTGCAGAGGATGACAATGGGTGATAAGGAGACCTCAGGTAAAGGCGGTGATGGCTATCGATAACAAATACGGCACTAAGATAAGCACTAATAGTTATGTCTAGACTCGCTTAAGTTTCCAGTATTGTGGTTATGCAGGAACGAGATCTTTGCACTGGTTTAAATAATCTATAACCAGAAGATCAGAAATGTAAAAAAAGCCCTTTAATTATCATAACTTTAGAAATCAGATTCAAGTGCACAGCAATTTGCCATTAAGGCCAGGAGATGAACGGTGAGCCTGATTCAGGGATTTTTTCCATTTGTGTTGGTTACCGTGAGAAAACCAATAGTGCCTAACTATTGCTTGCAGTGGCGGTCCAGAACATCTTAGCGTTATGGATTACTGGGCTGATCCAGAACCTAACGTCAGTGTGTCAACAAAACCACTAAAGAGATAAATCAATCTAAATACATTAAATAAATAGAGATCTAATAGCAGCTGCCTATAACAATAGATATATAGACAATTTCTTACTACTTACTTATTGTATTTTGCACATACAAGCAGCATAAAGATTTTAAGCTCGCTAAGTTTGGTGGCTAGCTAAAGCTTATCTTTAAGCCTAAATAGGGCTAGGATGTCTCTTCATTTGTTTGCGGACCTTCTCAAATTGAGACTATTGCTTTTGCTCGCGCATCAGGCCATGGCCCACAAAGCCCATTGGCGGCCGATTCAGCTTGTTGGTGGCTGAGGACTGTAAAATTATCTGCTCTCTCCTTTTTATGCTTTTTATAACATAAACAGAGCTGTGCTGTGTTAAGGAGGATGGACGTCTTCGGCTAATACTTCAGGCCTGCGCTCTTTACAGTGTTTGACGTATCTACTGCAACTTGGTTCTCCGCGCTTTACACGATTCAGCACTTCTGTCTCAACATGAGGTCAAAAGCAACCCTCTGTGCCCTCTGGGCATCTCTTATATCTTTCGGCCTAGCAGCATCCTGCGATCAGCTAAGCAACCCCTACCAAGGCCCTGACGATACGCAATTCGAGATCACTTGCAACGCATATTCACTCGGCGGCAATCAAATCGGTCCCACCATCGAGGTCACCGATTTGTCGTCATGCATCGAGCTTTGTGCCACTACGTCAGGTTGCAAAGCCGCACTGTTTGACCGCAGCCAGTATTTGTGCTACACGCTAGACGAATCGGATGGCCCAGCGTCCAACAGTCTGTATGACATGGCTGTTTTGCTGTCATCTGCTGCATCAACCACGGCGATAACATTTACGACAATCCCGACTACTTCATCTGCCGTCTCGGCACCGACACCTTGCAACCAACTCGATAACCCTTCCTATATCGACGATGTCAAGTTCACAATCTTTTGCGGCCTACAAGCAACTGGCGGTAATCAGGTCGACTACAGCAACCAGCTGCGCAGCTTGACGGAGTGCATGACGTTCTGCGCTGACACCTTGGCTTGTCGCGCAGTCACGTTCGACAACTGGTTCAAAGATTGTTACTTGTACGATGGGTTCAATGGTTTCATGAGTGACTCCAACAAGGACATGGCTATAGCATCCCGACCAGTTGCCTCATCTACAACTGAAGCCCCAACTGAAGTTCCTACAACCACATCAATGCCTGCGGCGTCAACTACAGCATCATCAGGACCGCTCTCCTGCGAACAAATGGCCGGCAGTGTTTATACTGGTCCCAACGAGAACAAGTTTACTATCAGTTGCGATACTTCCTCGACCGGTGAATCTATCTACCGACGGGATGAAGAAGATAGCATGCAGGGATGCGTGGATCGATGTGACAGGGAAAGCAGATGTATTGCTGTCAATTTCCTACCTTCTCCGTATTACGAATGCGACCTGATTGAGTCATTCAGTGGGACAAAATCTTCACTTAGTACCAACTTTGCTTCCAAGATACTTTCATCAGCATCAACCTCTGCGTCATCTGAGACTTCATCAGCACTCTACACAAGCTCTTTAGCGTCGATATCATCCGGATCTCCAGAAACTACATCGTCATCATTGCCATCGACACTCACATCAGAGACCATGTCAGCGAGCACATTGGAGTCGCTATCATTCACAACTACATCAGCTGTTACCTCCGAAGCAGCTGCCTCACTATCAACAACCTTGTCAGCCTCTACATCACTATCGCTATCGTCAGGCGCTCCTTCAGGGACTATATCGGAGTCTGCACTTCAGTCTACACTAGCGTCTACATCAGCTACAACCTCACTGGCGGTCATCTCATCATCGACTGAATTGTCAGCATCTCTACTAACCGACCCTTCATCGCCGTTGTCGTCAGAATCTGTATCAGAATCTACATCAACTTCTCTAGATCCAACTACCGTTGCAACAAGTACCGTCTCACTGCACACCGATTCTACCAGCATCGAGATGTTGGCCTCCGAGACTTTGACCACTAAAACATCCTCCGCGGAAACATCAAGTTTGGAGACATCGATCTTGCAAACATCAGACACTACAGCCCCGGCCACCACGATCCAATCTACCGTCACCGAATCGAGCTTGAGTGATACCGGCCGTATTTCCACTGAGATACAGTCCACATCAGATGCTTCCGCTTCGCCTTCGACCTCATCAACTCCTACTGCAAGTAACATTCCTGCCCTTGGTGAATATGCCTTCACAGGTTGTTTGAAATCCCTTGAGGGCTATCCATCTTTCAAAGAGGTAGCAACTGATCCAAAAATGACCACCGGAAAGTGTGTCGACTTGGCTTCCGGAAGCAAGTACATAGGTGTCTATCAAGAGTAAGTTTTCCATTTTATGTACTACTTGCCATGCATTTGAGCAGTCTGTATCATAGTTGTTGCAAACGGCGCAACTAGACACATTTATCCATTTCTGATCTATAAGTCCCCAAGCTAATGTCTATCAGGACTTGTTATAAGGCCGATCTGCTTGATGATACAGAATTAATTATGGATGCAAGCTGCGATCTTCCATGTCCTGGAGATCGTACTCTTTTCTGTGGTGGTATTCTTCGCAGCGATCAAAGGCTTCTGCATCGAGCGATTGCACCTAACCGTCTTTTGACCCTCTATAGCAAGGCGGCTTCCTCCTCCGACACCACTTCGTCTGCATCCGTCACTGCCTCTGCTTCTTCCCTACAGACTACGGGAGCTCAAACCGATAAAACAACTTCTGGATCAACTTCTACTTCACGCTACAGTCAGACAGACTCATCGTATTCTCTTTCCTCCTTTACAACTAGGAGTGCTGGCTCAAAGACGCTTTCGGCCTCTCACTCCATCATCGAAGAGACCACATCTGAGACTCGCCTGCCAACATCCCTCCCTACCCCAACTGCCATCCACACTGCTTACTCGACTTTGACCATCGGTCATGCTTACACCAAGACTCAATTTGCCGTGACGGTAACCACTGTTACGTACACTACTATCAACCCAAGCAATCCTGCATCTCTGACCACAACCTGTGTTCCGATTACCCTTCTCTACACCCCTTGCGGGTGTAAGCATCAGGTGTACCCAACAGTTGATATGACAACTGTTGCTTGTACTCATGGAGGGGATGTTGCTACTCTGACAGTTCCAAAGGCTGCTTATGAGACTAGCAGTGCGATCTATACACACCCGATTGTGCAGTATCCTTCAGGTTGGGTTGGAGGACATCAGACAGACGCTGCCGGCAACGGTCATCCTGTGGTACAACCTACAGCAGGTTCACATGGTGGTTCCATAGGTGGTAGGCCTGAGAGTCCTTCTCTATCCCCAGGATTCGGAGACAGTTCCCATCCTAGTTACAAGACGTACCAGCCTGCGGACTATACTTCGGTTGCAGGATCAAAGGACGGCCATGAACCAGGGCAAGGGAACCAAAAACCCTCCGTCCCAGCTGATCGCTCACCAGAGTCCAGCACGAAAACTCAGGCGAACCCTTCGAAGCCAACATCTCCAAAGAGCTTGACTACCGCGACAAGTATCTTGACAACACCCCAAATCTACACTTCAGCCATTCCTTCCCAATCACCTCCTCATCGCCAGGGTGAAGCTCTTTCAGAGTCCGAGGAAGCGCCCCATACTACCGCAGTGGTTGTTTCAGAGGCTCATAGATATGACCTCACATCATGGACTGCGATGACTGCAATAGTTGGGATGATTTTATACCTTTAAGGAATGCTACCAGTATGGTCAGCTTCTTACGTTTTTGATTGGGGATTACCTTGTTTCTCGGTTTCTCTGATGGTGCTGGCTTGTCGAGGTCGACGAAGACCGTGGGAGCTCTCAGCTTTCAACAACTTTAAAATCACGACCGGTGAAATTTAAGAGACTTACTGGTCACAGGGCCAAATTTGACAATAAATCTTTGTATATAAGTGAAATGACTACTTCTTGAATATATATATTCATTAGCCCTAAGCACTGTGAGATGGTTGTTTATATCTGAAACTGTTGCTCCCTCCCCGAACGCATTCAAGGCAAAGCCCGATCCCCCCCTTTAATCGCTCTACCCCAACATGGCGACGAAGTCTAAAGTCTGGAACCATGTGTCGGAGAGCGTTGGAATAAGGACTGCTTTTTCCCCGAGGAACCGGATCAGGCATCATGTCCGCCTTCACTAGCCCTCCCGAGATAGACATATTGAAGAGGTGCGCCAGCTAAAGATCCTCTGCGTCCAATTTCTTTATATACGCGTAAGTATATCTGGCTTGCCTACCACAGTACCCGCGGCAGTTACCAATGTTTACACCGCTGGTAAGAATATCTGCTAGCTGCAGTCTCACGAAGCCTCTTTGCTCTTCCAGCAAGCCTATTCGTAAGTATATCAGTTATATATCCCCACCATAACTGAAATACATATATAATACCTCCTATGGGATAGCAGATCTACCGTTTCCCCTATACAGAGCAAGATAAGACCCCTAATAGTTGAGGACCAATGCTGCAGTGATTTTCCTAAACGCTTTAACATCCCCGAAGAGGTAGGCCGCGGCAACAAGAAGCATAAGATCTTCCGGTTTGGCTTTCAGTTCCCGGAGCTATACCTTACTGGCAAATTATAGGGCATTCATACAATCATACTTATCTGCAGCAACGGCAATAGCAAGGATATCGCTTGCCGGGAGGGTCTGTGGGATCCTGTCGTTCTAAAAGTGAATAATAGAATATATAATTTCTATTACAGTAGCATTATCCTCTGGTAGTGGTAACTCAAACGGGCCATTATAATGTCGCGTATCATGGCCTTCTTTCCAATTTGGCCTAAGCATGGCTGAGAAGGGGTTCGAGGCTGCCCTCAATAGCGTGGACTTGACAAGAATCTTCGTCCTATCAGATCCAACTACTAGAATGATATCGCCATCTGGGACAATTTCCACAATCGGGGCACTTGTTGTGTTCGCCATGATTGATTCAAATCGCTTGTTACGGTTTCGCGGAACGGGTGTGTCGGCAGAGGAAATACCCACACTTTATGTGGTGCCGGCTTGGATCATCTCACCTTAGGGATGCATCTGAGCTTCTTATACCTCCAGCCGGTCAAATGAGATCCATCTAAGTTTTATGATCTTACAATTTATCCTGTGGCAATTGATCAGGCATTTTGTGATAATGGGTAAGGTGTAAGCCCCATGTCTATTTGCAATGGCGACTTGTGTCTTAGAGCTTGTCTTAGTAAAGAGAACTCAGATACGCGAAAGTACTAAGTTCTCACTCACAAGTATCCCCGCAGTATGACTTGTGGCGTCGAAGCATTATGCGTAAATGTACAAACGTGCTGTGAAGGTTTTTATCTAGGTTGAGGCCTATCTTCTTTGCACGTGGAAACTCAGCCAAGGGTGATACATTGGCTAGCTAAGCTGATTGTGCCCATCGTCCTCGGAGTCTGTTTCTAAGAGTCTCGCTTTGTGTAGGGATTAGGTAAACCTGACAGACGACGCTTGCACCACGTCCACTACCTTTTGTGTATCATGACATGAAATAAAATAGTACATCGCTAGTAAAAGCTGAAAAAAACCACGGCTTTCCTCAGAGCTATCGTCTCAATGTATTCATCAGCAAGTCTTCATATCATATCCTTTAGCCCGTAGCCCGCCACCCTGGCTCAAAATATAGATTACAAATGCTTGTAGTAAAGGTTTCAAAGGTTGTCACTTGCAGCGTAATAGCTTCTCCCTAACCGTAAGCATACTAATGCCTCTATCTGCGGGGTACTATCATTGTTATAGCATCATGACAGACATAATACGTAGGCGCTACCTAAACTGTGTTAAGCTTATGATGTAGTCATGCGCTAGCGAGCGCTCTCTAGTCCCTGATATGCCTAGCCTAATTGAATGCTTGTCTCTTGGAACAAGACTAGATGAGCGGGAATGGAAAGAATGCCTCTTCCACCCTGCGAATTGTATCATAGCTGCGACATGCACACCCTACAACTCGATTGAAAATGGCTGGCATGAAAGGGCTATGTCATATTTGCAACACAAAAGAATATCATACCCAAATTTACGCAACTACCCAACGTAACAGGGCACGCGTTGTTGCATAAACTCGCAGTCATAGTCTGGCGCTTTCTACAAGACTATGGACCATAAATAACAAGACATTGGCCCTCTTGGCATACTCGGCATCCTCTAGAATCCTGAGACAAGCCTTCAAAAGACCCGCTTTACCAGAACTCCAATCTTTTCCTCCACCTGTCACTCTACTATACTCGAAATGGGTAAATCCGGCAAGGAGATGGCATCGCCAGCATATAAGCCCCCGTTCCCGCCAACCTCGTCCCTGGTCTCTCAGGATGATGTCGTCCTCCCTGCAGCCTTCAACGATATATCGCCCTTAGCAAGGGAACTGCAACCACTAAGATATGAAGCTAGAGATGAGGTGCATAGATTTCTCAGCGCCTTTCTCGATCTTTCTCGATTCAATGCTATACGCAAGATGTTATGGCTAATCGCCGTCCATGGAGCTCCTCGATCACTATACTACCAGAAATTCCTACGCCGCGAAATTGTGATCGCAGAAGAACTGGACCTCCATCTTGTTTGGGCCAAGTCGAGGATATTTATCAAGCCATTACCGGACTTTCTCCTCAACTACGATTTCTGGGAGACCAACGTATCCTGTGATCCTCAATTGCACCGAGCAGCCTGCGGGCTTCTGTACTCTTATTGTGGCCTCATCCGTTTTGGCCATGATTTGCGGGTGGCTCAAGAATCTCGCCTGATTAATGAGAACCTGGACTACCGAGCTTGGTCGGATTTTGCCCGTACAATACTGCCAAATCTCAACCCCAAGGACCCCAATATTATGGACAAGCGATTCCAGTACGGCGAGCTACGGTTGAATCGACTCGACACGATTTACCGATATTCGCCTTATAAGTTTTCCATATCCAGTATCCTTCAAGGCTTCCCCCATGCTCTGACCGAGAGCTATGTGCCTTACATGGACCAGTATAACAACGCAGTGTCGGCTTTTGGTGTCATTGTCATAATTTTGTCGGCCTTCAATCTATCATTAGCCTCACACTCGAACAGTCCAGATCCTGATCTTCAGCAAGCAGCATATGGCTTCAGTATATTTGCGATGATTCTATGCGCCACCATTACTGGATTGTTTATTGTCTTACCCTTGATTTCCTCACTAGCGACAGTCTATGGCTCTTTTGCGGTACGAAGACGACTTGAGAATAGAAATGAGGACAAATATGCGTAGCTTAGTTATCATTACCTGCATGCTGTATTCTTAGTCTAGTATACTTTTATTACGATGTTTATGCTTAAGAGAAGAGAACCAAGTAAAACTGTGTTTATAAGTATCTTCTCTTAAGGATACTTATTTACCTTGTGGGGGGGAGCCTTTATGGTGGTCTCGAGACTAAAAGTACACCTCATCTCTTTACGCTGTGACTTGGATATGTAATGCATGCATATGGAAACCCAGCCATCATCATAATTATCTAAGAGACAGTTTATAGTCTAGATAAATTGTGAGTGACCTACAGTATCTATAGAGGGCAATAAAGAAATATATATATATATACATAACTATGATCTTAATAAAGATTAGAAATTGTAAAATCTCTAACTAATTCCTCAAGAACATCTATTTTCCTGGATCTTTAGATCTAAATCCAATAGCCCGTGTCACAGCGCCATTCTAGCTAACGGAAATATATTTAAATAGGGAGATCAAAGACTTCGACGTCTTTTTACCTTGCAAGAGGGACTATTTTCAAGAGGAGCAGCAGTTTCAGTAGCCTTTACAGTCGTTGAAGCCTTCACGGCAGTGCTAACAGAAGAGTGTTCCTCGGGGATGAGGCTGCTCAGTGCGTCGACGGAGGCCGTAGGAATAGCAAGTGAAGTAACCTCGTCGGTAACAGCAGAGGTAGCAAGAGAAGCAACAGTGCTGACGGGGACAGTTACATCAGCTGCAGCAGAAGTGTTAGCGGCGGTCTCAGCCTCATCGGGGACGGAGGTCTCTACACGAGCGGTGGCTTGAGCCTTGGCGCCGTCGGCCATTCGGGGACTGATGGCAGCAGCACCAGGAAAGAAAGAAGGTCGTATGGTAGGGATCGCAATGGACACAGTAAGACCAAGACCATTCTCAATCTCCCCGTCCATGGTCGGAGTGGCGGCACTGGCAGCATCGACAGTCTGCGTAGTCGTGTAAGCACCATCATCGCCCTCCTTAAGACAGGCTCCGGATCCGTAAGCGTTCTTGCAAACATGCTCAACAGTGTCGCCCTTGTTGCTCCCAACAGTAAAGTCATCAACCTGCATGTCAGTGCAGGGGACATCGGCTGGACAGTTGAACTTAATAGGTCCTCTCTGATGACCATCGGCGCAGGTTCCGGACCAGCCGGAGAAGGTCATGTTGGTGTAGAGAATGCCGTCGCCGGCGATGGGCTTCATGGAGCTCCACTGAGCATCGAGATCGAGTGTGTAGGCGTTGGAGTGGCCGGCGAAGTTCTTGAGAGCAACGTTGTTGACGGTGCCACTGCCGCCGTAGGATTTGAACATGTACATCTGGTTGGAGCGCTGTGTGTAGATGTTTCTGTACTCGATGTCGTGAATATCTAGTGTGGATTAGCGTTGATTGGGTATGCAGAATGGGAGAATTGAATACCAGTGTCGGTGGCGAGGGATCCCATGGCACAACCGCCGGACCAGTTGCAGAAGATATTCTCGATCAAGAGATGGTCAGAGGGGTTTTTGACGGTGACACACTCGTCCTTGTTGCTGACTTCAACATCGTGGATACTAAAAAGAGTTAGCACAGCTGAGCACGAAAAAAGCGTTATGAGGCGTTACTGGATGTTGGTTCCCCAGACGTCGATACCGTCGAGACCACCGCGATTGCCTCCGTGAATGGCCATGTTGTACACTTCGCCATCGGAGCAAGTGTCAATGGAGAAATGGAACGCGGGCGCTGCTTCTGTCAGTATTATTAGTGATTGGGCGCGGGCTTACTCACAGTCAACCAGAGCAACGTCGTGGATGGAAAAGCTCTTGACGTCAGCAAATCGAAGGATACGGGGGCCATATTCGTTCTCTACTTTACGTTAGTGACTCGAACAAGACCCATGACCATGTTTAGAACATACTCTTGTGAAACTCATATCCATAACCCTGTATAGCTCCCTTGGAGGTGCTGCTGTAAAACTCAAAGTCCTCCAGATGCTTGAACATGAACATATTGCCTCCATCGGTGCCAATTCGGTAGATAACTCCATCGAGACGGAACGACATGGGCTTGGAAGACGTCAGTGTCACCCAGGTACCCATACCATAATCGCCTTCTGGGACGTAAACCTCTCCGCCGCCAGTTCTGCAATCATTCCAGGCTTTTTGAATTGCCGGACCATTATCAGTCTTGGCATTTGCCTTGGCACCGTAGTCGACAATGTTGCAAGTCTTGATGGCAGCCTTGGCTGAAGGAGTAGTGAGAGGTCCAACCTTTCCGTTCAGCTGCGCGGCAGCTTGGACGGCGGAACCAACGGCAATCAATGCCGAAACAAAAGAGTGACGCATAGTGAAAGTAAAAGAAAAAAGAGTGTAGATAAAAATACGTGTAAACGAATGGCAGTTATGGAACCGAACAGAAACGACAGATAGAAACCCAAAGAGATCTGCGCCCTCCAAGGTTCCGATTATATTTAAACTACAGCGACCGTTCGTAATCTTGCAAGCTAGCGTTCGATGTTGATGAGCAATGATCGGATATTAATGAAGGTCATTTCATTGTGGGCTTCGTCTCCCGATGGCAGGGTTCATGAAACGACCCAATGGTTCGGCACGACCAAATTCGAAAAACCCACCAATAAGCGATCAGAATCATCGGGTAAAAGTTGCCGTAAGCCTTCTAGATCAATTAGCCCCAGACATGCTGTTTATCAACCAAGGGGTTATACGCGTACATATCCAAGAGCCCTCGGGTTCCCAAAATTATTGTATTTGGAGCATAGGTATGTTAAGTTAACCGCTCTCAGCACCAAACGTGATGTTTATCAGAGGGTTGACTCCGGACTAGTCTTTAATCAGCTCCAAGTTCATCCCCCGGGAGCGTGAAACCGGTCAGCAGTCAGTGGAAGCAACTTGTTGAAAGATAACAAGACTGCATGTTACATTAATTCATGGGACAACAGTATAATGTCATCTGCGTTGCCAATGTCAACTATACAAATGAGAACTTTGAGGCAGTCTGGTTTAATGGTGGGAAAATACTCAAGCGTGGAAGAAACTTCATCTTATACGAAGTAATAAAAACTAGCACTACGACGCTGGTTTTCCTTCGAGTTGCTACCGGGTTGGTGGTTCCTGCCACGGAGTAAACAAAAAGCCTCAGTTATGGGGATCTATATAAGTCTCGCTAAGCAAGCATTACTGGAAAAACCTCTGATAGCTGATCTTCATTACCATGGATAAGCCTACAGTTATTAGCACTGTACTGAACGGGAAATTGACAAACTCACTCTGCCATCCCAGCACCAGAATGTGCCAGTATCATTATGGTTCTTCTCGCTAATCACCTTGAGCATTCCCTCAACACTCTCATCTGGCTCCAAAAGCGTTCCGACATCCCAGGTCCCAACTTCGCCCGAGTTCATGTCCCTGATCATCGTCAGTCAAGCCGTAGTATCAAAGCGGGAATACCTACGTGTGTACCTCGCCAGGATGGAGAGCCAGAACGCATATCTCAGCCCACTTGCCGCCGCGTCTTTTCAACTCCTGCGCCATATGTCTCAGCATTTGGTTCAGTGCAGCCTTGCTTGCTGCATATGCTGCGAACCCATCTTCATATGCCAGGAAGTTCGTGGTTGACCCGGAGTCGGATGAAATGAAGATCAATTTGGAAGGAGGGCCTTCGGGATTTAAGTTGACCAGCTTCTGTGCGCATATGATAGGCCCAATGGTGTTGGTTTCCATGTGGAATTTGAAGTTGTCGTAGGATCTTGGAGCTCAAGTTAGCGATTGTGCGTCGGGGAGAATGCCTTCTTGAGGGGGTGTTACAATTCCGTCGCTCGATTGGGATACCTGAGAACACCTGCATTCATGACGATATTGTCGAATCTAACTCCCTTGCTCACAAGCGCGCTCATCCTGGCAGCAAAGTTCTGTATGTGGATTGTTAGACACGTCCATATGACTTGGAAGGACAAGTTGGGCTCACATCGATGCTTTCGCTACTTGCAACGTCGCACTTCTCGATGATACAATCTTCTGGATTACCATGAGCTTTAACGACTGCCGACAGTCCCGATGCATCTGGGTTGCGAGCTGTCGCAATTACTCGGTTTCCTGCTTGAAGGAGCTGCTTGACATACTCAAGACCGATGCCTCGCGAAGCACCAACCACTACCCAGGTTGCACGTGTTTCGGTCGTGTTTGACATGGTGGTTGTTTAGAAGTGGATTTGGTAAATGTAGAACAAGTTCTGGACTATAATGCAACATGAGAGTTAGGATGGGCGAGTATTTAATTGAAGGCTTACCAGTCAGTATCTTGTCTCATACCGATATTGCGATTTAATACCTATATTTGGGTTAGTGGATAAATGTACTGCGGGCGCGGGGTAAGTGCGGAGTATAGCCCGGCATCAGTCCTAATGGTGAGCTGTGTTGCATTATGTCGTATCAGTAGAGGATATTCTCGTTGCTAGGCTCTCTGACAAAGGCTTATTAGGCCTCTTTCATAGATCTACGTCTGATCAAGAGAATTGTCTGGTTTCTGTGATAAGCAACTTGTTGATTGGCCAGATTTTGCGATCTTGGCCGGACTTACACTAAGTCGTATGTGGTTAGAGGCTTTAGATTATGTCATGGCATTTTAGAGCCGATGAGTTTCCCACGCGTCGCGAAATGCAGACCCATTCAAATTCGTCCGCGTCAGAAGAGAGGATCGCAGATTGACAGCAGCATATAATCAGATGTCTTCAAGTCCATCAACCATGCAGACAAGCAAAGCCAAAGTGTCCACCAGGAAGCCGAGGGTGCCAAAGACGCCAAAGGTCAAATACAGAAGGATGACAATCACGAAAAACCGTGCATGCACAAAAGACGTGTACAGAGACTTATACCACCACCCCGAGGACCTTTCCACCATCAGTCACTTCAATGTGAACGAACTAGACGCTGAGTACCTCCGCAAACTGTTGTCCCTCAACATGCCGAACCTGGAGGGCATCAATTTGAAAGCCCGGTCAAACGCACTTTCAATGCTGGATGAGGGACGCAAGAGAGAACTAAACAGCCGTATGGTTGCCAAGCCAAGTTGAAGACATGTAAACTCAATCGTCGCAATGCTAGACGAATGGCGATAGCTAGCCTTCTGCCAAGTCAATTTCATAGAGGACAATCCCCGCGAAACGTATATGTTGACTCTGCAGGATGTTCCACTGTTTCCCCACCCAACTCTCACAACCCTCAAGCTGTGGAACCTCACGATTGATGCTTTGGCACGGTCATCCGTCCGGCCGCTTCCTTTTGAGAATCTTGACTCCTTCTACCTCCACGCCCGCGGATATTCACACGAGGTTCTAAATAAATTCCTCAAGAACGCAAAGTCGCTCAGGCATCTGGAGTTTCATCATCCGTTTGATGTACGACCGCACTCAGATCCCCCTGATTTCTCCGACCTCCTCCAACCATGCAAGAGGAGTCTCAAAATATTAGAGCTGTGGTGGGATTGCACGGATCACCTTTCCTTCAACAGTCCGGGCATGAAATTTGCAGAGTGTACTGCCCTGCAATATCTCGCTATTCCTCCCACAGCATTGTTTGGCCCCTATTGGTATAAGAGGGATCTTGACTTCTTGCAAATGCTCAAAGATCATATCCCGCCCAACCTCAAGGTTCTGTTCCTGCAGGATATTTATCCATGTTGGTCAGAAGAGCCTCTCCCTCCGGACTGTGATCCAGAAGCAATATTACTTCCCAATGATCACAAACTGATTAAAACATTGCTTATTAACATTGAATTATTTCCGGCACTAAGATACATCGCTTGGACATCAGAGATCGGCACCATTCCGCCGGAGGATCTTGACGATATGGCCGGAGAATTGGGAATCACCCTTGAGTGGATGACCAATAGATCTGAGCTGCCGCCTGATGTAAAATGGCTTGATAGCCTATGATGGGAGGAGAATAGGATAAGGAGCTTTTGACACTTCGCTCAAAACAGCTGAAATAGGCCAAAGGCATACAGAAAGCAGATCTTGGGGATATGGTTCAGTTACTTGACTGCAAAATAGAGTATAAAGGAAAAGTATATAAGAAAGAAGTTTAAATACCTGCATAGTAAAGACTAATAACCAAGAAAGAAGATATGCATTTAATTTAAATATTCATACTGGTGGACTTAATTATGTATTATCACAATACTCCGATGGGCCTGGGTCTATTTAATCTTTGCCAACAGGGTACCTGAGCTCAATCCAAGCGATCCTGCATGGCTGGATTGCTTGGGCAATGCTTATAATGGATTCTGACACGTAGGCTACTGGTTCAGTGATTGCCCAAGCCTGATTTGGTGATATTGCAAATTTAGTCTCATGGCCGCGTTATGTGCAAAGTCCTCGGTGTTCCCTCTACCCATACTGCGTAGCTTTTTAGATCATGCTTCTTTTTCTCAGCTTCCACAAGATTAGTCCCATATGTCCCGGAGCTGTTGGAAGTATTTGATACTACACGTCTCAAGTAACTGTCAAGCCCTGTAGAACTACCATTTCGAAGTAGTATGGCGGTGCCCAGTAAAAGATCCATGTACAGACTAGTAATATGTCGGTTGCGGTGTAAGTGAAGTACCAGAATTAAAGTGGTGAAAAATGTGACAGCAAGGATAACCACTGTAGCCAGTGCAGCAGACTTGACCACAAATAACCGAAGCCTCAATCGGGACATGGTACCGGTAACTTCGCGTCTTTGTGCACTAGAGTAACCTTCCAATGTCACGAAGTTGGAAAACAGAGCGGCAAAGATGATATTGAAGGAATTGGAAATCTTTTCTTTGTCGGGCAAAGTGTCAAGAGTTGGCTCCCCAGAGGCATGTCCTATGACCAGACGCGAGAAGGTATCCATATCATTGTATATAGTTGGATCGAAGAGCGAGTATCGAGGGATATTCCGCAGCCAACTGGAGACAAAGAACGGCCAGAACTGCTGTCTACTAGTCTCAGAGACTTTGATCACCTTGGGAGCTACGGTGTCGTTGAGAAATGACATCTCCAGCGTGAAATTGGACTTGTATATCAGAGGCCGACAAGTCACAACCGTTAGGTTCGATAGGTGAAATCGTTTGGTTGCGTTGTAGATCCCCGAGAACATTCCGAATCTTGCTCTCCCGCTGCTCAAACCGCAGTTGGTAGACCATGTTCTCGCATACTGCAGGGTGTTGTTTGTCAGGGTGAACCACTTTTTGACATCACAGCCTTTATGCTTGAAGCCGAAGCGAATTTGAGCAGAATCCAGGTCGTCCTCCTCCTCCAGATCAAGACTTGCCCCCCCGATCTTGACTAGATCGTCTTCTGTAGCGATAGTGCAGTCAAGATTGGCGGAGTATGCCTCAGTGTCGAAAGTGTAGTTTCCACGGAAGTCTTTCGCAACTGGGGCGAATGGTAAGAAAGAATGTGTATCTGTTGTCCAAGGATAATTGTCCCCGCTCCTTAAAACCGTAGCACTCACGATGTCGAATGCTGGTGTCACTGATGAGTTTCCAGTGCCCTCTCCCTCGTCCCAACCAAGATATTCATCAAATCTTTTCATACTGTAGAGAGTGGCGGGCATCTCGGAAGGCACCAGAGTTGTCGCAAAGATTGCCGCAGTGAGGCCTCCTGCAGTCCAGAGAGCTGCTCGTAGAAGGAGGCATATACCCAAGAGAACATGGCCTGCCCGCATGGCCCGAAAGCCATTGATGACAGGCCACTCCCCATAGTCCAGTAGCAAGGTCTTTTCAATCGTAGAGCCTTTATTTTGCGGAGTAGACTGAGATTGAGGAGACTGATGACGAAAGCGTCGTTTCCAAATCCGCATAAAGAGCTCAACGCCCGGCAGAGGTTTCTGGTGCTCTTTATCAAGTTCAAGAAGAAGATAAATCTTTTTTAGTGAATCAAGCATTGCAGACCAAAGAGAGGAATAAGCCGACATGATCCACGCCGGGACGGCGGCCCAAACGATAGAAGAGCTAAGAATTGGAGGAGGATGGAATCCTTCTGAGTCAAATGAAGGGTCAGGATTGTCTCTCACAGTAACCAGTCCATTATTTGTGTTTGATATATGCCATAGCGCAGAGATGGTGCTAATTATGATGGTTTGACAGACAAGCTGAAGGACCATGCCCCATTCTGTGAGAAGCAGCGGTGGTCTTTGAGGAGGGGTTCTGCTTTTGTACGACTTGTGTTTCTTGCTGATGGTATTTTGTAAGCCTTTAAAGGTGCTAATCACAGATGCGGCTACGCTGCGGAAGACTGGCGATGTTCAGTCAGAGAACGACCTCTTATTTCGTGGCCTCAATAGAGGAACGCAAATAGACATAAATGGAAATAAAAACATGCGATATCACTTACATCGACTTATAGAAGCCCAAAGACCTCAAGCCGCCGCGATTGGTGTTAGGGCGCATGTTGACTTGAAGCACAAAATGCAAGATTGGCCTGGAACAAGTTTTCTCAAATCTCGCTCTGTCGAGGACCAGTGCTTTCACTCTTAAAGGGAGGTCTCATCGCATATAGGGTTGTAACGGAGGTTCAGGTTAATCACGAAGCTGGGAAGTGATCCCAAAATGGTTAGAAATATTGGTGAGGCTGGATTTAGGGAGGCGATTCGCGAATCAGATTGCACGAGTGCCACACCACCTTGCAACAACAAAAGTGATGATGGCTTATCACTTTTTCAGCTCTCATTTCATTACCGAATCAGAGCCCAGGATAAAAGACACCGGCTGGCCCTGAATTGCTCACATGGCTACTGGTAGTGCGTTAGGTGGAAAGATAAGAGTTCAACCCAAGACATCCTCTCAAACAGAGCAGTCTTATGTACAGACCGGATCTTCTTTCCAGGCGTTCGTGAGTTATTTAGATGTAATTGGCATAGCGAGGCACTTTCTTATCTCCCTACAGATACGCAACAGAAGTAAGCCATCATGAAGCCTCGCATGATATTCGCATACTTGGCGCAGCATTGCGCCGCGCAAACAATCTCAACAAGCTGGTCCTGCGAGGCCGGATCAGATATCACTTCATTTCCTGCTTGCAACGGATTCCTCAATTCCGGAAATGCTTGTGCGACTGTATTGGATCGTCCCGGAAAACAGAAATGCCTTTGCAATCAAGAATACCTAGACTCTCTATACAAGTAAGTGTGCGCGACATAACAGCTGACAATCATGTCGCTGACGCTGACGATAGGTGTGAAAATGAATTGGAACTCTGCTATCGTGGAAATTACTATCAAGACTCATTCGACAGAGGCATTGAGCTTTGGGACAGCCTTTGCCGTAGCTACGTGACATTCTCTCCGACGACTCCCTCGGCCAAACCATACACTGCTTATCCAGAGGAACTCTGTATCGACGTTGACAAGGCTTGTCAAACGGCCAGAAATATCCTCAGCGATTGTCTTCCATATGTGTCGGATACGGATACGTCGAGACTGAGCTCTTGCGAGTGTCAGCCCAGATTGCTTCGGCAGGCTTATACTTGTCAGTATATCGGGAACGCATCATGTCTGGCCACAGAAGCTGCGACGACAAATGCTTATGGGTATGGGATTTGCGACAATTTTGACTCCGTCGTCGGTGCAGAGAATGTAAGTATAGACAGTACATACACAATATTGTCGAAGTATGATCACTAAGTTTTCTTGCAGTCGGCGAATGATGAACCTGCTCAAACCAATGCCGAGGACTTACCAACTTTGTCTGCCTCGTCACGCGCCACTTTGACCATGACAGTATCGCAGACCTCAACTGAGACGTCAAGTATCAGTAATCAAGTTGCACCTGAGGTATTTTTGATCCTGAGCATTATGGAACTTGCCATAGCGGGGTAATACTATTTATACACACCGCAGTTGGTAATTCTAATATCTCTTTCAATCCTTGTTTAACCAATTATTCATCCAAGGAGGGACTGTACATGTTTCTTTTACCAAAGTTCCTGTTGAAATCTCGGTTGACTGATGTCATCTTATGGCCTGTTTAGTAGCAGTAGTAGTAAAAACCAATTTGAGATCATACAGGCTCTTATTCCGTTGGATCTACAGCCGGATCGTTGAATGAGTCAAAGTCCAGGGTATCTGCCCACAACCAGAGTTGACTAGCATCGACGAGCCCCGAATCTACCAGGGAAGACATATCGCCGTCCCAATTAAACGTGCCCATAGTCCCTTGATCTACCTCGTCCTCGTGATTTCCAGTGACCGTACCTTGTAGCTCCATGTCACCCACATTCAATGGTGTGGAAATATGCTGCCTAAAAACTATTGCTACAATGTCAGCTCACATTTGCCATAGCCTGTCTATGTGCCGAAGATTATCGCTCACCTTCTTGAATGGGGTCCAAGACTCGCTCGTTTCTAGACTCCATTGGACTAGTTGCGGTCGTGTTTGGTCTGGACGCTATCATTCTGCCTACCGATGATGAACCTAGCATGGATGATGTTGAGTCGTGCCTCATTTGAGAAGCATGCAAGCCTGGATAACTCGTCTTTCCCGTTATCATATCCGTCTCTTGGCGCAGCATAACTTCAACTAAGCTATCAATGATGCCTAGACTCTGCTTCGAGATGAGCTGGCCGCTATAAAGACCAGGTTCAGTCTCCCTACACATGCGCGTGATGTGCATAACTCCCATCTTTGCTCGTGATCCCATTTCTGTGAGAGGCTGCGAGAGACAAATAGCGCAGAGAACGACACCGGCCGTGAACATGGTCATGCCAACATGGACGTCTGCATGGGTTCTTCTGCAGGCGTCTAGGATCCGGGGATATCGAGAAAGTTCAGACGTATCCATGGCCGAGGTGAAGATTGGTTGAAGAGAGGCGCTGTTCTTGGGCGAGAAAAATGATAGCTCGTTGGTGTTGTTGAAAACTGCTGTGCGATGTAAGATGATTTGAAGGTTGTCATAGGTAAGCTGGAGACTGAGTGCATGAATCTCAGTTGGTCTTACTACGATCGGATCCATGGACTGCTCTTGACCTTTGAGAGTTAGAACATCGGGGAGTTCTTGGCGCCACCGTGTCATTCGCTGGTGTATTGTTTCAAGTGACTCAAAGGTGTTTCGCTGTCTCTTACGACCCAAGAACGCACCCATGATTCTGTATAGACGGAACTTATGTTGGTGGTAGAGAACGAGCGGTCTAGCCGGGATATGCCTATGGCCATCCATGTCAATATCAGAGATCATCTCGACTTGGCAGTCAGAGTCGTCAATGATACAGGGGCGCCCGAATGCAACAGCAGCATATCTGTAGAAAACGTCCCCGTTAGCTTGGATACGTACAGACATGAATAATCGTGATTCTATGGCCTTACTTGTCAAAGACTTCCAACGTCCACCAAGTGCGCCGCTTGACTTCTCGTGCTAGCAGAGACGTCTCTTTCCAGAAGCTCTCACGATGCAGTCCAATGACCTGAGCGATTTTGACCCCCATGCCACAGATACCCAGTCCTGTTGTAGGCCGCGTATAAAATATGAAACTGCCAAGCAAGATACATATTTGGACTGTCTCTACGGTCTGGCATCCAATAATTTGCAGGAACCGCGTCTCAATAACAGAAGTGAGATCACGAGAAAGCTGTCGGTACTGAGGACTCATCTGATCGTCCGGATCCCTAAGTGCAGCGTAATGTGCGCCCAGCGCCAAGACTAGAAGCCATGTCCAGAAGAATGTCGTGTCCTGGTACTTGATTTGTGTTTGCTGCAGCATTTCTGCATACCGGCTGCGAAAGGTATCTTCGTGGAAGACCATCATGAACCAGTTGACCGAAGAGAAGAAACTGTCGACTAAACGCTCAAGAACATCGTCCGCAGGGAGTTCTACACCTATTACGTTACGCCAATGCTTGGCAGGGAGCGTGGTGTTGGCTTCCAGGAGCTTCGTTCCGCCAGGCAGTGAGGAGGTATCGTGTCGTAAATCCTGGCTTGAACCGCTCCCATGTATCATCTGCAGTGTTCATACAGGTCTCAGAAGTCGTTCCAAATCAGAATCTCTAGACTTACAAGAGCACTTAGGTCAACGATGCTAGACTCTGGGAGTATGGGAGACCCCGGAGTCTGAGCCTGCCTATTCCTCGTATTTGTCTGGCCAAGTGCAGATGCCCCGATGTCTCCAGATGTCGACTCGCGAGGGATACACTGGGTACCAGCGCGGACGCACTGAACACAAGGTCTCTCGGCATCGCACTGCCAATTAGTCAGCGAGACAAGTAATGAGATTGGAGGTGATGAGGATTCATACTCCGAGCTTACGCTTACGGCAGCGCTCACAGGCGGAAGATACTTTTTGTCTTTTTCTCACAGATGCAGACATTATGAGACCTTGTCGAAGAAGTGACTAGGAGGTGATGGTTCCGACGGAAGCACGTATCGGGTGCTTGTCAAAGTTAGGGTCAAGGTCCGTCGGAAGCTCCATACCCCTCATTTCCCCGGCGGTCGCCGAGCGGTGACGGAGCCCACTAGACTATGCCATTTGCGTGCTGTTATGACATAGCTGTATCTCAAAAGATGGAAAACGTCAGCGGATCGACAGAACTCGTCATTGCAAAGCAGCTACAGATGACTCTGGAATTGAAATGATATGCTATATTGGCATTTTTGGAAGTAGATTCTAGGATCCTGTCCCTATGGTGGAATGTCACGGCGGATACTATTTCCTTCCAATTCCATTCAATCTCGATTAGGACAAGAGTCACATGCAAAAGAATTACCCTTGAACTCCGAGCTCAAGGTATATTGTATTGAACACAGGCTATGAGCGAGAATGACCATGATGAATGGTAAACAAATTTCTTCTCAATTTTGTATTTCAGCCTAGGTACGTATACTAACCGCACCATTTTTCCTTTGCCTTTTTGTTCCGTAATCTTACTTATTCACCTCCTCCAGCAGCGTCTTAGCAGCCAGCTTGCCCAAGTTATTGGAAGCCAGTGGAGAATCACCAGTCAATAACAGACGATCCCGGTGGCATTCACCAGAGATAGTCTTGTTAATTGGCGTGACCCCGAGCTTCTTCAGTCGCTCACCAACCAGCCACTCCATCTTGCCTGGGATATATCCAATGTCGATGTTAGCTCCCTGGTCCAGCGAGTCAGGGAACACGTCGATGCTGTAGCCCTCGTAGATGAAATTGGAGCCCTCAGGCTTGCCGACATCAGCAGCAAGGATACTAGCAGGCCCGTGGCAGAGGGTGATAAAGAAGCGATCATTGGCGTGAGCCCAGCGAAGTACATCGCCAACGGTCTTGCTGAAGGGTATGCCATTCAACACGCCGTGACCACCTGGAATGAAGACTGCTAGGTATGGCGTATCCTGATCAAAACCCTTTCCGTCTTTGCCATTCCAGACCTCAGACAGGTTAAGCGGGCTGCGGAGTTTCTGCTTGTACTTGTCATAAATTGACTTGACAGCCTCATCCTCTTGAGGAAAAGCCCACATCTCAAGCTTGACTGGATCTCCCGACAGCGTAGCGACGTCGATATCGAAGCCAGCAGCGTCAAGGTGATACATAGGCAGAAGCATCTCAACCGGGTGATTACCCGTGGAGAAGAACTTGCCATCTGCCATCTTGAGATAGCGCTCCTGGGTGCCGATCATGAGAATCTTCCACTTGCCGCCGGTATACTTGTTTGGATAGTCGGCGCCATCAAAGTCTGTCTTGGCGGTAACGTATTGCGTAAGAGAGAATGGTGAGGGGAAATAAGCGTCATCTTCCGCTGTGTCGCGGACGGGAGTCTTATCGTCTTGCTTGGACATTGTGACGAGCTGTAGGGTAAGGTGTTTGAAGAATTGGTGCTGATGAGATGACTGAGATAGGGTGAAGGGGTGAGCTTGATTATTGTTGCTACACAGCTCGGGACGGTTGGAAAGTGTCTTCTTATAGCTGTTGAAGCTCTACGTATGTGGCGGGTTCCAAGGGAGGAGCAGTGAGGAGTACTGCATATCACCAAACGATAAGGTTTGACTTAATCGTTAGCTACCTTGTTTAGTCTCTGGATGGGAGCTACGGGTAGATCACTATTGGCTAGACTTGCTTATCAACTCCGACGGAGATGCCATTAGCGTTCCGACGGAACCAGGGATGTGAGACGGAGCTGAACACTAGCCAATCAATTGTCTAGAGTCTCTGCCGTGCCTTAGTCCCCCCCGCAACAACGTGAAATCGAGCTCTCGACGGAACTTCCCTCATTACGTCAATGGTTTTTGGCATATAATGCAACGACAAGCCCCTCGATAAGCCATCCGAATCTCGTTTTTTACAACACCCTACCAAATCTAACTGGTACATAAGATAACTCTTTGGAAATGACTACTGATTATAAGTTTGAAGGATGGATGGGCGAGGATGAACGATCTGCTGAAGGGAATATGGTCTGGCAAGAGTACGAGCCCAAGAAGTGGGAGGAGACTGACGTTGATATCCGCGTTACCCACTGTGGTATCTGCGGCTCTGACATCCACGTCCTCCGCTCAGGCTGGGTAAGTCTATACGAAGCTGATTGTTACACGAGACATCACTGATGCATTATTTGGTACCACAGCGTCAAGCACCATACCCCGTAGTTGTAGGCCACGAGATCGTCGGCGTCGCTGTACGCGTTGGCAGTCAAGCTGAAGGGGGCATTAAAGTCGGCGACATTGTCGGTGTCGGTGCTCAATCCGACGCTTGCCTCAACCGCAAGTTAGGCAATGACAGCAATGAGCGGGCAAAATGCAGCGAGTGCGCTTCTGGGGAGGAGAATTACTGCACCCGCATGGCCCCAACATACGGCTCAAAGTTCCTATCAACGGGCGACAAAACCCAGGGCGGCTATGCTCGCTATCATCGTTGCCCTTCGCACTTCGTCTTTCGCATCCCTGAGGGTGTCGCACCAGAGTACGCAGCTCCTCTTCTCTGTGGTGGCGTAACTGTCTATTCGCCTCTGAAGCAATTCGGTGCTGGGCCTGGTAAGAAGGTCGGCATAGTTGGCGTTGGAGGGCTAGGTCATTTTGCCGTGCTCTTTGCTCGTGCGCTTGGGGCCGATGAGGTTGTAGGTATCTCACGAAGAGAGAGCAAGAGGCAGGAAGCCATGGACCTTGGATGCACAGATTATATCGCCACAGCTGATGAGGAGGGATGGGAAACGAAGCATTCTCGGAGGCTCGACCTTATCATCTCAACTGTGTCGTCTCCAAAGGTATTTTACCCCTTGCATATTATCCGGCTGGCCATTAACAAGAATAACTATAGATGCCTCTCGCTGATTATATCGGACTCCTGCGGCTAGACGGTACGCTCGTCCAAGTTGGTCTTCCTGAAGGGCAGCTCCCATTCCGACCAGGAAGTCTTACTGGGGCTCGTCGAAGGATCGCAGGCTCGAGCATTGGATCGCCAGCTGAGATCAAAGAAATGCTGCAGCTGGTCGCAGATAAGAATGTCAAGCCTTGGGTTGAGATGCGTCCTATGTCAGATGCAAACCAGGCTATCGTTGACTTCGAGGCTGGAAAGCCGCGATTCCGTTATGTTCTAGTTAATTAAGCCTCACATATCCCCGTCACTCAAATATCAACTCGATGCTATCTGTTTCATCTGTTTGTATTTTACGCTTTGGCTTGATTCGGCCCTCAGCCACTGGGCAGTCTAGCTGCGCTTTGACTGGGGAATAGAGGTCAGCAAGCAAGATTTGCGATTAGAAATTTGCCAACCAACAGGCATTTCTCGGTCCTTCAGCCTATTTTCGCTCATCGATAACAAACCAATAATTGCGCTCCAATGAAAATGTGGTGTTGTTAATAGGGTAGTTGGACATCCAACGATACCCGGAGTTAAGGTTGGTGATAATCTTATGTCCAGAACCGGGCAATCAACAAAAGTAACAACCTATGCCGATATCAATATGTATTAAAGGGCCTGAATCTTTAAACATCATTGAAATACTTCCGTTCATATAGTATTAAGTGAATCTCACTATTTAACCATATAATAACACAAACCTCTCCCCCATCATGTCTTCAACCACAGAAACAATCAATCGATCTGCGGTACTGCCTCACCCAAAGGCTCACCCCATGGTCATTGCCTCTTCGCCTGTTCCTGATCCAACTGGAAATGAGATACTCATTCGGGTGCGAGCCGTTGCAATTAACCCAGCCGACTTCGCTGTTCAAAAGCTCGGTATAGTCATCAAACCGGAATTCTACCCATACGTCAACGGCACCGATGTGTCTGGAGAAGTCGTCTCTGTTGGGCCTGATCAGGTGAGGTTTAAACGAGGAGATCGTGTAGTGGGTCATGCAATGGCATGGCAGAGAGGCGATAATAAGTATGGGGCCTTCCAAGATTACTCCATCATGGTTGAGCCCATGGTAGCCAAGATTCCAGATCGCATCCCTTTCAGGGAGGCAGCCGTTCTTCCTTTGGGGCTCACAACATCATCTGCTATGCTGTTCAGTCCAACCCTGATGGGCCTCGATCTGCCCGTGGCTGGCACTGGGATGAACTCCAAGGGGAAAGTCGTGCTAGTCTGGGGAGGCAGCTCAAGTGTTGGGTCGAATGCCGTCCAGACTGTCAAAGCAGCTGGGTACATCGTTGCGGCTACGGCGAGCGAACATAACCACGGGTTACTGAGAGAGATGAACGTGGGCTATGTCTTTGACTACAAGAAAGATGGCGTTGCGGAAGAGATTATAAACACTTTGAGCGGTGTTGGCGATCTTGCAGGAGTTTACTGTGCTGTATACTCGGATACTGCTATCACGGCATGTGCAACAATTGCAAACAGACTCGGAGGAAAGAAATGTCTCGGAACTATACTTCCTCCTGGGATGCCAGTGCCTGGAACGATACCCGACGGCGTGCAAGTTCTAATCAATGACCATGTTCTTCTGGGGTCGACAGAGACTGGAAAGAGACTATGGGTGGATTGGCTTCCTGGAGCTCTCGAAGATGGGACCATGAAGTGTATGCCATATCCTGAGGTTGTTGGCAAAGGGCTTGAGAAGATTCAGGACGCAGTCGATGCGATTGGCAAAGGGGTGAGTGGAAAGAAGCTGGTGGTCGAGCTTTAGATTATATATATGGCAAAGCGATGGCCAAAAGATGAAGGTCATTTTTCGTGGTATATAAAAGATTTCCTACATTGCTTTAATCGTGTACCAGTGATGTAAGGAGCCAGGCCATTGAGTCCATCCATGGCATGTGTGCTTGACCTGATAACGTTGGGTACATCTCGCTAATGGATTACAAGTTCTCGCACAAATTCAGCTGGATTATCTGACTGACAAGACAACGCCAAAAAGAATCACAAACAGTCTTCAGAAGCTTCCTGCAGGTCTGATAAAGTACTCGTTCAGTCACACTAACTGTTCTCGTATTGACTTGCTGCCAAATTAACCCCAAGTCCCCTGCTATACAGACAATTTGTGGGTTTCGTAGCATGGGAGTAGCAGAACAGCCACAAACCAGAGAACCCTTAGATCATAGTCTTGACCCAAGCACCTGCCTCCTGAGAGAAGACATTAAAGTAGGAGGTGTGGGCGCTTGGATCAGTACCCTGCGCGCACACATTATCGCCTGCCAAACACCAGGATCTGATTTTGTTGGAATAGCGGTTCAGCGAGGTCAGCTGAGCACCATTACGGGGGTTTATCTGTCAAAAGGGCAATGTTAACTCTTTTTCGGTCATTACTAGGAGAAATTTATTTGCTTACGCCGTTTCTTGAAGCACCGGTACCAGTGTTGTAGGCCTGACTGGCAGCGTGGCGAGGATCGCCAAAGAACAGCACAGCAGCAACTATACGGGTGAGATTAGCCATTCAAATCCGAATAATATTATCGGCATACTAATCAAGGGGAAGGACTTACTTTTATTTCCAGGCGAAGTCGCAGGATTCAACGCAGAGTTGGACTGCTGGGTACATCCCAAGCTCTGCCCGCCACCGCCACCAAGCATGTCGCCAAAAAGCTGAGCACCCTGCGAATAGCCGCTCAGAACTAGTTTGGAATCAGGGCATCGATTCGCATATGCTGTGATCTGTGATAGACCGCCGGTGATCCCTGCGTAAATTGAAGTGCAGTATGTATTGAAACTAGCCGGGTAATTGATGTTCTCGTAGCCACAGCTAGGCAAGCCACTGCAAATGGCTGAAACAAGGGAGCTTTGACGACCCGGATAAGGCTCGTCAGTACCACGAGCCAGGAAGATGTGCACATTTTGACATGGCGCTTGGCGCTCCTCGATGGCAACGGCCGGGGCGCCGATGGCCAATGAGATAAAGAAAAGAGAGGCGAGGAGAGCTATTTTCAACATTTTTAAAACAGATGATGTATGGCCAATTTGGTTGGTTAATATTGCTATGTGAATTTATTGCAGATAGAATTTAGGTTTGATAACGCGAAGCTGGCTGGCTATTTATTTATCTCCCAGAGCTAAAATATACCGTCTATCCGTATCGATCATCTCTCGTCATACACCCCGCATCACATGATATCGTTGGTTTGGTCCGAAGAGGCTTTTCGTGATTCCTCATTGGCGCATTGACGATTCTGAAATAGGGCATTGGCCGTGGTGTAGGGTATAATCGGCCATGTTCATCCAACGAATATAGGAGTGATAGTCTCGTTTTCAATGTTACCTACCTATCCTGGAACAAACATAGAAATACTACCAGATGAAGCCCATACTTGGACTTTCGTGCATGCTAACCGGACCGACTGAACCCCAACATATAGTGGTGGGTTATGAAATTACATATAGCCCCGCCTCATCACCGACGTTACTCTGGGGCAGAACCTCGGCATTGAAACGGTACCCGATTCTCTTGATCCCATGAACAGAAACAGAAAAAGGCAATTCGCGGGGTACTGCATGGTGTGCCTGATTAGGTGGTAAGCAATCCTAGTAGGGTGTGGTGAACGACGCATCAAGGTCTCAATCTCCATCAGTCCATATCCATCATCCTCCGCGGCATGCTACACTCGGTCTTCGGCGCCGAGACCGAGGAGAAGCCTGAGTTTTCCCAATATCAGAGTAGCACGTCCTGATTTTTACCAGCTACGCCGAAGAGGAGCAAGGCTACTGTCAGCATCCTCTTCATCCAGGATTCAATGCTACTGTAGGTTTGACTCCTCGACACCGTCCCCATGCTATAGGCTGGTCATGATACTCTTATAGATCTTGCATTCTAATTTCTATAAACAAATTCAAACGACAACCATTTCTAGCCCCAGAGTCTTCAATTGCACTGCTGACTCGATCGCACGACCTTCATAGACTTCGCATGATAACCAGCAGTGTCACAACTAACACGTCTCTTTGTGGCGGCAATCAACCGGTTCTGTGGACAGCCTACTGCAGAATAGGTGCATAATTTGAATTCCTCCTTTGGTGATGCAGGGTACCAATCCAGTCGTTGATATTGGAGTCCGCGAATTGAAGGGGGAACAGGGATGCAATTAATGACATCGTAGTTAGCTCTGTTCCACATGTAGCCGCTTCGGCAGCTTTGGTCGTCAAAGATGGTCACTCGCCAGTTAGCGTGTAGAGTGGTATCATCCGCGTTGGTGGATACGTGGGTTGGGTCATCGATTGATGCGCACTCAAGAGCCGCATTAGCCGATCTGGCGCCCAAGGAGTGCCCGAAGAATACAACCGTCAGACAGAGACAGAGAACCAGAAGAGAGGCGCCGGCTAATGCTTTTATCGTTACCGAGCGGACGCATCGATTGTGCGTTCCGATTGGTTCGACCTGGTTGGCGAGCAGCATCTCAACTTCAGCCGGGGCCTTCTTCTCGGACTGGTATTTCATATTTGCGATTCAGTGTACTTTGGAAGCTGTTAGGAGTAGAAAAAGGAAACAAAGGATTGTCACCTTACCGCTGTGGGCTGGGATTGGTTGAAGCAAATGATTTTGGGAGTAAAGAACTGATGTAGGCCAGGTATTTTCTCGATCTTGAGTGTTGAAGACAAGTGGTATGTACTTCAAGAAGATGAGAGAATAAAGGAGTCTTATTTATAATCAAAAATTGTCGTCCGTTATCCATTTCAGTGTATTAGACTTGCCGTATAAGTCAGTTCAACCTATTACGGCGCGAAAGAGAGGCTGCTCTGTCTAGTATGTTGCAGTTCAGCTAGTAAGTCTCAGACTATTGATGGCCGCCGAACCCTGTTTCCGGCTATCATGTGGCCATATCACCAATAGTACCTTCCAAACTGGTAAGCATCTCGACAAGGACCATGCAGCTTGATCCAACTTTGGAAGCAAAGATGAGATGAACTAGGCTGCTCATTAGTTGCGACTGACTGACTGGGCCAAGGGTATCAAACTCTAGTTAGCTACAAAAGGAAGAGTTACATAACTATCACATCTGAGGCTTGAAAGCCAGGCGCCTCGCCGAATGAAATGCTCGCTGAAAATGAACCAAACCTTGTTCCGTGTGATTGCATGGTCTTTCAGCTTACACTCAGATGGTGTTGGAGGCATCCTGAGCCACTGAGCGCCGAAGGCTTTCACCAAGACGAGACTATCGATTCACGCCTATTTCAGTATATCGCCCACATTACAAGAGATCCATGTACACTTCACTTTTCCGGTCACCGAAGGTTACATATGACATGAAATATTTCCCCACCATGTCTGTGCTTCGCCAAAAGTGACTCTATTCGGATGTGATTCAGGCCAATTGAGGCCAGTGGAGATAATTCCAGTACAACTATCTTTCACTCATAGACAGGAATCAAAGTTTAACTAACTTAAATTGGCCATGCCGAGTGTGATACCGATATCATAGTTGCCATGCGGACGGTGGCCCCCTGCACTTGCATCAATAGTCTGTTGTACTAACTTCTATCCAATCATTGTGACTCTTAAACGCGCAGTCGTTTCCCCCGCACCTAGTCCAGCGCGAGCGAGACTAATGAGTCTGCTTTATACGCCCCCTTGTCAACCGTTAAAGCGAACATAATGGAGTCCCTGAGCTGATACTTCTGATATCACCAACGTCATGATTTTCATGCTTTCTCTTGTGCCAGTCATTCATTCTTACCTGAAAGATATTGGTGATAATCGAGGGGATCTGCAAGACCCATCAACGTATGATTAGGCTCTCATTGCGTCCATGGGGTTCTAGAAGACCACGCTCAGACCTTTTGCGACCAGAGCGTCTATCGAGTCACCGGACTAAGATTGATTCAGCCAGCCACTAAGTTTTGTCTGATCACTTAAGCTCCCAGCCGCAAGTCTCAACCGGTAAGAAACACATCTAGCCAACAGCTTTAGATTCAGCCAGCCACAATTTAATGTGGTGACATGATAGAGGCCAAGACTACTTCAAGTGATAGCGTCTGATTTTTGAACAGCTTTAGTGAAGGGACTCAATTCAGTTAATTCATTTACAGGATCTTTGTCTCACTTCGGGAATAGGCGGGATCCTTCAGTGGGTACGACTTCGCTCAGCATTGCATCAGAGAGCATGCGTCGGAAGTCGGAATTGGGCCAGATGCAGCACCACAATTACCCAAACATGCAAGAAGCCTCAGCTGAGACATTCCTAGACTCATGGTGGAGTGTGATCAATAGACAGGGGTGTTCAGCTGTCCACGTCCAGTATCCATGCAGCTATTAGCCCCCGTGCAAAATGTGATATTGGAATCACCTAGGCTAGATATGGCAATGTAGAAACACCCCGTCCTTACATGAACGGAACCTCGGTTTTAGAGACCCTATCTTCTGATTTACCTGTAGATGGTAGGTTTTGACAAACTCATCGTGGGGAGTGAGGTGATGTCCATTCCCGAAGAGGTTACGATTTACGCCTGTAAGGGGCATCCTCCGTAGGTTGTAATGTAATACTGGACCCTGCATAGGGAGAGTGGAGAGGCAATCGAAGTTTGGGAGACAGAGCACTGGGCATTCTGCTTCCCATTTGAGCCGTAATACAATAGTTCCTTAACAAGCATACTGTATATGAAGTACTACTAGTAAGACAATCGAGATACAATGCAAGCCAGGGAAATTGAACTGATTCAAAATCACCTTGAAGGAGTTACCCCAGTATACCCTTGAAAAGCCCTGCTGCTTTGGAAATAATTGACTTAGCGGGAGGTGAGAAATTTGGGAATGCAGAACCCAACAAGGCGCTTCCAAGTTGATCCATCCTGTCCATCACGTCATGACCAACTTGAGGACTGTTGGTTTGTTTGATTATTTCCTCCCTCACAGAAATGGTGGTCTTTACGCTCTGGAACAGAGACTGATCCAAGCCGACCGTCATGTAATCCTCCAGTTCGCCTAAGCCATCATTGCCAACCAGGTCGACTCGGAAACTGGTGGGGTGCAAATTATAGGTTCGCTTTTGAGGGCCTTCTTTCTTCCTGGAGCTAATGCTTACTTCCTGAAGAAATGGGGCATCGGTTTCGATCTCACTCATAATCATGGCTAGACCAGCGCTTTCTCCTGCGGCGCGATTCTTGTCTTCCGTCTTTTGGAATCCAGGGAAAGGAAGTTTGAGATGAAGCTCGTCTTTTAGAACGTTCTCAGGCTTGTTGAAAGTCCGTCGCCCGAAGGTATCTTCGTAGAAGTCCCTAAACCCAGAGGTCTGATCGGAGAATCGCCACGTCAGCTTGATGGTGTTGCCCTCGCTGATCTCAGGTCCGCTGCCTTTGGTTTCTCTCTTGACACGCCAGAATGAAGCATCGCCGGATGATGTCATAGCTGGCATGAATTGGCCTTGTGCATTGCGGTAGACCGTTAACCACAAATCGTCTTTGAATGTCTGGCTAGCACCAGCCGCAGATGTGAGCATTACCAAAGAATTGTCTTTCAGCCATTCACCATAGGGAACAACCATATTCCAAACAGTCTCTTTGTATCGGCTCTTCGAGTCTGGGGTGACCCCTTGTGTGAGGTTGGACTCGTTGTAGTGGAGGGCAACTGGGGCCTGTGTCCTCGCGGGAGAGAAAAGAGGAATCTCATGGATAGTCTCAGTCTCAGTCTCAGTGTAGATCATTGAGATGTCACCAGTGACTGCGCCGCCTTCCAAAAGCTTGGGAGCTTGAAGTGCAAGTCCAATTGGGTTCAACATGGATATTTTGTCCAGTGTTGATAGTTGCTGCCTACCGGAGGGACTCTGTCGACTCTGTCTCTGAATCTGCTCTTTGACGATATCTCTGACTCTGAGGTCAACCCGAATAGGGCTGACGCACTTTCCGTACTGATGGCCGAAGTAGTGACAGACATCACGGTTGAAAATGTCATCTGGCTGATGAGTGCTGAGTTGCGGTATCTTCGAGTTTAGCTTGAAGCGAACAGGAACTACCCTTGACTCTGGGATGGCAATGTACTTGGAAAGGAATGGTACTGCCTGTGCGAACCATCCCCGTGCTTGCCTCATCTCTAACACGCTGCATCGACCTAGAGCTTCTCCCAAAGGAGTAAGCCCACTGCGCTGGATGACACGCCAGTTGCGATGATCCAATACGGATTCAGACCATCGAGGGGGATTGGTGGCGAGGATGGTATTTCCGCCCGTTGCCTCGAAAGTAATAGCGTCGCTGGAATGTGTTTCCTGCTGGCTATGCTCCTCATCGCTTCCACTTTCCTTGGAATACTTGGCATTGATTGAGGCAATCTTTGGGATGGAGATTGCAACACCTACCTCAGCTTTGAACTGACTCTTAGCCCTGGTTACCGAGTACTTATCAGTGATATTTGTAGCTCGAGTTGTCTGCAGCCGTCCGCCAATGAGAACCTCTTCACAGAAGAAATGGCCATAGTTGTCGTAAAGGGCCTTCAGCTGATCTAGCGACTTTGTAAGTCGGACTCTCTCGATCGCAGCTGCGAGACCCTCAGTGGGTTCAAGATCCTCTGCTCTGAGAAAGATTGAAGCACGAGGGAATCGATAATTGCCAATCATCAAAGTCTCGCTGCTGGTGTCTCTCTTGCCCTCGCCACGCTCTGTACGTTCAGACCTTCCTCCTGATCCGCCGAGATCTACACCTTTGATATTGGCAGACCCACCGACTTCAAATGATGAGGCACTAAAGTTGTTCTTGGCCATAGATTCTTCCAATCTGGAGCTGACAAGAGTGATCTCAATCTTTGAATCATCGACTACAGCAAAGTTCGGAAGAGCCTCAGGCTTCTTTCTCCGGGAGACTGTGACAGTTGCTGGTGGCTTGGCGGGTTGTCCTCCCTCGACGCCCCCTTCTCTGGGAGTATCTTGGGTCTGGCCGTCCTCACGGACATCGCCGCCATCACCTTCCTCACCTTGGGCACCTTGAGCACCCTCGTTACGCTCAACCTGAGATCCATTCCCTGCACTCTCCACATGATTTGCGGGTATAATGATCTGTGAAGATGGTACAGGGTTGGAATTGAGGTCCAGATTCAGACCCTTCCTCAACTTGAAAGCGGGCTGGGGCGCTGGTTTTACCGCCATGGAGTTCAGATCGAATTTCCACCCGTACATGACGTTACAGTTCCCCAAGACGGTATCCCACTGCATCTCATCTAACTCTGCAGGAGTCAAATACTTGCTTGCCTTGACCGAAGCTAGAGATTGCAGAAAGGTCTCGTTAAAGACCAGGTTTGAAGTGTCAGCAGCTTTGCCTGCCATTTCCGCAGCAGTCACTGGTTTTTCATTGCCACCTCCAAACTTCAAATCAGTCTTTGTGTCGATCTTGCCCAGATCTTTCATCTCGTCAGACGCTTCAGCGAAAATACTTTTGCGTCCACCCTTTTGGAAGTAGACGGTAAGAATTGGAAGATCTGACTCGATGTCACTCGGCACCTCGCCTTTGGAGATATATGTCCTCAATGTCATTGAATCGCTCACACCCGTGCCGTCACTGAGACAGAACTCATGACGTGAGTGATCGCTTGACATGTTAACATATGGACGCAAAGACCCGAGCTGGGCTCTTTTCATGTCTCCAGGAAGCTCTGAAGACTGAAGGGAGCGGGTTGGATTCTCGTTGCTTTTGTCAACAAATTTAATCAAAAAGGACTTCTTCAAGGCGTCGACAGAAGTCATCTTGGCAGCCTCTGGTTTAGATTCCTCTTTCAGGTAGATGATGTTATGACCTGGACGCCTTTCCGAAGACGACTCCGACTTTGTGCTCGATTCTTCTTCGCCATCCACACCATTATCTGGCTTTCCTGGAGCAGTGTCTTCGAGGTAGTCTACCAGAGGCATGTCTTGAGGCACAGTCGACTTGTCTTCCATGCAGAAGGCATATTCAGCCTTTACGTGAGGAACAAGCATCTTGCGAAGGTCGGCCAATGTCTTGGAGGACCATTCAGAGGCACTTGTCCATGGATTATTGAACGTAACCAGTGAAGTAAACTCTGAGCCTTCGGTGTGACTCTGGATTTTAAACTTTCTTGGAATTTGTGGCCTTTCTGGAGCAGGAGGCGAAGCTGTTTCCTCAGATGCGGCTGAGGGTTCGCCACCGGCAGATTTTCTATCTTCTGGATCCCTATCAGTCTCTGGGTTCTCCGAGGGTTTATCGCCGAATCTCAGAACAGGCAACCGGCGACCGCGAAGCTTCTCGAGCTGGTCTGCCGACAGTCCTGGCATGGTTTAAGATATAAACAGGAGGTTTGGGAAAGGTATGTTTCAGAGTAGAATCCTTCAGCTTTGAAATGAAGGCAAAAATAAGATACTAGGCTGAAAGATCATAATGAGAAATGAGGCTATTAAGACCTGTGAGCAACAAAGATTGGGAAAGGAAGGTCGCCTAGCGAAGAACATCACATCACAGCGCAGTTCACGGGATGAATTTACAACAGTACCTATTGTTCAGCCCTGGTCCACATTACGCGCCACAAAGTATCACACCCTCTTTCAGGATCCGTGTCCATATGATCACATATTTTAGCGCTAAGGAATTCTAGCTAATGAGATCTGGAAAGCCCCTATCACATCACATACGCCACAGAGTGGAAACAATAGTCTCACCCGCTAGCGACAATAAATGCTCAAAACAGAAATATAGAACTTTATCCTATCAATAATTCACTGTTATCAGGTCATGAGGTCTCGGCTACGTCACATTCCATTTACCCGACACTGCTAGTGCGTAAATATGCGTGGCGCGGTCTTCACTTCTGAGGTTTAGTACTCTTCCATCTCAAGCTGATATTCCCTGCAAAGAAAGCTTTAGCCCATGATTGGGCGATGGTTTAGTTCACCCCAGGAATATTAGACGGGTGATTCGGGTCACACGAGGCAAGGAACCTTTTGGAATTCAGTTGAGGCGCTCTTAGAACTGGTGCTGACATTTGGGTGGATGCGAGATCCTGGCGGTGCAGCAAGGCTTGAATCGGACCCGTAAACTATCGACCCAGTTGCAGGATACAGATGATACGACTGAGATAGCAGACAGGCTTTAAATGAAACCCTGGATGGTGTGGCTCGAGATACTTGTTGTACATAAGAAGGTACACTACTCTTATCTTCGAAAGCGCCGCACCAGATCAGAACACATCATCGTCTTTACTTCCCTTTCGTATTGCTCACTTATTGAAACCGCCAAAGGAAGGTCCCTATTCACTCATAGCCAGAATGTCTTCTCTTCTCCTGGCCCCCTTTAATGATTCTATGCGCCTGGGACAAGGCTACAACTCCTTCCTGCAAACGCCCTGCCTCGGAAATGCAGTAGATATCAGTAATTCCTCCTTGGTTGATTCCAAAGGCGGGAACGCTCAGTCTCAGACTGTCTCCTACTCTGCACGATTCGTTGAGAAAATGTCTGATGTCGTTCAAGCTATGAACATTTCGGCGGGATCATCCATCCGGACGGGCTCCGTGAGTGTCTCCGGCGGCGGTAATAATATTGATGAGATTAAGTTTGCCGAGAGTGATCTCAACGCTGTAATCTCCGTCAAGGTCGTCAACCAGACGCGCAATCTCCGAGAGAACTTATCCTTCAAGGAGATTGCGGTCCAAGACATGACGAGTGATCAATTCCATGAGATTTATGGAAATACCTTCATTTCCGGTTTTATTGAAGGAGGTGACTTGCATGGAATTATAAGCATCAAAACCATCGATGCCTCAAAGAAATCAGAGGTCAAGAACGCACTCCGAAGCCAGTTCAATGGAACGCAGTCGGAGTGGTCCCCATCGTCAAATGCTGTTCTTGGCGAAGCCCTCCGGCAATCTGAAGTCACCGTCACTGTCAACTGGTCCGGTGGTGGCATCATCAAACCGCCCAGTGAAGAGTGGACTATTGACTCCCTCATTCGCGTCTCGAGCGCGTTTGCGGACAATGTCGCCCAGTGTCCCCAGCGAACTTGGGCCATCTTGACAAGATACGACACGGTGCCGAATTTTGTTGTTTGGTCTCGAGGACTTGATACACCCATCGTTGTGAGACGGTACGAGGGTGTTCAGAGATACACTTCCGAGCTGCTTGATATGTACATCGAATACAAGGGCAACTTACTCATTCTCAATGATGCTATTCGTCATCAGGATAGATACGAGGAGGCCAAGAGCGATGATCGAATTGCACTGGCGCTAAAATCTCTCATAGAGGCTCGGAAGTCACTGCGTGCCGAGATGGGCAAGATTGCAGCCAAAATTGAACTACTGTAGGGCTTCTTGATCCCCACTATGTTGATTTCATACTGACCGCTACCTAAGTGATAAGAGCCCTGTTTCAATCGACTCCGTGCAGAGAGAGGAGATCACGGAGCCCGAACTATGGCGTGCGAGGCTTCCGGTTAGTTTTAGCAGTCAATGCGTTGCTTTTTTCATACTGATCTGAAGACAGTTTCGCAAGGACATTGCAATCGAGGCCGCTAGTACTCAAAGCCTAGTTGAAACACTGTTCAAAGGGCTTCCTATCCATCCTGAACTTGGAGACAAACCAGGTCTGTCGGAGCAACTCAGTGAAAAGGAACTTCAGTTGAAACTGGCTCAATCAGAGGAGACAAAAAACGCCATTCTGAAGAGTCTCGAGGAAGCAAACACTCAGATCACCCAACTTACGCTGAAGCTCACTCAAGCCGAGGAGACTAAGAATGCGACTTCTAAGAGCCTGGATGAGGCAAAGGCAGAGATTTCCCAGCTCAAGAACAAACCACCGGAAATAAACTCGTTCGCTTGGTGGCGTCGAGAAGGCCTATGCCCTCAAGGACAACGTGGGATAATGCCTCGTTACATCAGAGAATGGGCTGCAAGAAATTCAGATAAATGGTCTGACTGTCGCATATCATACCATTTCAGTGGTTTGAAACCGTGGGATAAGGATGGGTCGGACAGGTTCGAGTGTACTCTAGATCACATAGGGCCAGAGGATAAGTATGTCGTGAAAGTCGAGGTTTTCATGAGGGCGACATATATCTGCGGACTCAAGGTTTACTATGTCTCGAAGAAAATGGTGCAACATGGAGATTGCACATCATTAATCATGAGGTGTACAGAGAGCCTGTCAAGTGAAGACATGGGTTGGGTCATAGCTTGCTCATCTGCGGTAAACCGCCGACCTTCGACCTTAGATTTAGTTGGCTCTGACGCCCAGAAGTCCACGATCCAAGCGGCCGATGCGGGAAGCCCTGGAAGCTCTGCTCAAAGTTTCGCTATGGCGCCTGGAGGATATTTTCTAAGAGGATTTTGGACACAGTATGACGGTGATGGGTTCCAGAGATTAGGCTTTGTCTGGGGTCGCAACCCAGAGATAACTAATCCCTCTACAGACTTCATTCATCGCCCTTAGCATAAATTTCATGACTAAAATATAGTTGCATCATTTATAGTATCTACGTTAATTGTATACCTCTTGTTATATATAAAGAACTCATTTAATGTAGGTTTATATAAGACTCAAAGAAAGACCTATTACTTCCTTAAAAAGTATGTAATAAGTTGTTGTACTCACTATAATCTAAGAAGGGAAGTGTATCATAAAGCTAAGTACTGGGGAGATGTGCCCATATACTGGCATCGTTATGGCCCATCCCTGAAGCTGGGTTTGAACGTCTGGAACGAGACCTCTGTCTTTGAACCATCCTCCCATGGTGTAATTAACGAAAGACCGCACACCACCACAATTATCCTTGCCAAACTGTATATCTGTTGTCTTGGAGTCCAAACCCCCAGAGATGTCGCTTTTAGCACGTCTAGTTAACAGGATATGATACTCTTCACAGTCACCCCTTCGTCTCATGAGTTCATTGATCAGCTTGAGGCTTTGTGTAAGCTCGATCTCTTCTGACCCATAGATACTGGCTTTAACAACGTCTACGCTCTCTAGGAACATTTGCAAAATGGTTATAGAGACATCGAAATCGCCTCCCAAATGTCGCAGGTCTAGTTGGCACAGCATTGTCTTTAGGAATAGGGATATAGAGGCTAACTGAAATATTAGTGAATGGGGGATAGCCTGGGCGGAAATGTTGCTACCAAGGTATGAGAAAAAGGCAAACACCGCAAGGGTACCATTCAAGGACTGATGAGTGTGCTTGATCGGGCTACTTGCGAGCATCGCCATTCCTAATTGAGGAGTTAATCGTAGAAACTGTGGCCTTTGAGCTTGTCTTTAAAATCAAGCATCGCTGCTCCGAAGTCACGCTGGGTAGTAGTCATGGTATTCCCAGATTGGCCAAGTGCACAAGAATAAGGATAACCAAGAAGCCGTCAGATTAGCAACTGTTCGGGAGCTTGGGCGAAGGGATGCGGGGGTTGCAAATGAGGCGGCGGAATCAGGCTAAGCAAGGCATAATCAATAGCTGTTGGCTCAAAACTTTCAATTACATATATTGGATGATTATATGTTATTATTTACTGTTAACCTATGGATAAAGCCGGTAGGCGTCGTTTGTAGTGAAAGGCGATTCTGGCGTAAATACTTCGGAGTTGGCCTTATTAGTGTCCAATGCTTGGTGTACTCCACGTGCTTATTACAAGACACAGTTCTACTAATCGTCCCATATAAATAAACATATCATAGAAACGAGGATGTAATATATGCTATTAAGAGCTATCAACCAACAACATTTGTCCCTTGCCCAGCCTGATTCTGCAGCCTCATCTTTCATGCAAACCCCGCATTTCCTCTCAGCTGAACTCTTCTTACTTGAGTCGTTTTCCTCCCATTTAGTTCAATACAGAAGCGTAATTCGCTGCAATGTCTGGAGCTGAAGCTGCCCTCCTCAGAGTGGGCATTCTCTGCAATACAATGCAGATCATCACCTTCGCTAAGGACGCCATCCACGTCTATCGGAACATTCGCGATGGCCGAGCTCCTGAACCCAAACTGGACTCATATTTCAAGAACGCAAAGGCTTCTTTCTGCGAGATGAATCAAACTGCCGCGCGAATGCGGCCACTGAGCAACGAGCAGCAGAAGATCGTTGATGTTGGCAACAAGGTCCATGACTGCGTGGATGAGCTGCAAGAGCAGTTTGCCAAGCTACATGTTGATGAGCGATCGAAAAAAGGCTTTCGTGAAAAAATTGCAATTTTCAAGAAAGCACTTTAGCGTTATGGCGTGGAAAGGAACTCCAGGATGCTGAGGAGAACCTACATCGATATGAACAACTCCTGCACGGTCTCCTGCTGGATCGTGTGTGCAGTCAATCTCAAGCTGCTGAGATCGCCTCCTTGGAATCATATCAGCTTCTTCAAGTGTCTTTGCAATCCATCATCTCAGAACTTGCACACGACTCCACGAACGTTGCAGACCTGTTCGCAGCTTTCTCTAAGGGCATTGGTAATCGAGTTGCAGATGAGCATGCGACTACAAGAACTGTGGTTGAAGATCGTGCAAAGTCAGCGGAGAACAAAATCTGCCAGAGTATGTCTCAGACGATCGATCAACTTCGTCGGGAACTGCTGGATCGCGAGCAGGACAAGGGTTTCGAGAAACAATATGAACAACTTCTTTCGAGTCTAAGGTTTCCAGAAATGAACAGCCGGAAGAACAAGATATCAAATGAGTATCCTGGGACTTTCAATTGGATATTCGATCCACATGCCTGGCGGCAGTCAGATGGAGACTCGTCGTCCGAATCCTGTCTGACAGACATGACTAGCCAACTCTCTGAACATAACCAGGATTGTGAGGCCAAGAGCACCGACAATCCACGCTTTGACAATTTTGCATACTGGCTAGAATCAGACTCGAACGTCTTCTGGGTCAGTGGCAAGCCAGCCTCGGGCAAAAGCCTTCTAATGAAATTTCTTGCTTTCAGCCGTTCAACAGTCGAGCATCTAAAGGTTTGGCGTTCTGATTTCCAGGTTCTAACACACTTCTTCTGGAAACCCGGACAGAAATTGCAGCGGAACGTCGAAGGAATAGTTTTATCACTCCTTTATCAAGTCTTGGATGGCAGACCTGGTCTTTGTCGAAGGTTGTGTGAAGCCCAATCTTCCGTGCGGCACAAGAGAAGCTACTTAGATTGGAGTCTCGAAGAACTGTCAGCGGCCCTGTTATGGGTACTAGAATCCTCTTCGTCAGCATTCTGCATCTTCGTCGATGGCCTGGACGAGGCTGAGGAGCTACAGCATCTACCTTGGCCAGAGTGGACAAGCGCTGAAGTCATCCACAAATTGCTCAAAGTCGATAAAATCAAGTTATGTGCATCCAGCAGAGAAGAAAATGCATTTTGCTCCTTTTTCAGTGGGCAATCTCGACTGAGAATCCATCAATTGAATGATTGCGACATTACTCTTTTTGTCAAGGCACGGCTTGATATTTGTGTACTTGGGAGGTTCGGTCGAGATCATCTGTCACACGAGATTGTGAAGAAGGCTGAGGGCGTGTTCTTGTGGGCCGCCCTTGTAGTAGACAGCTTGAATCGGGCCATCCGCCAAGGCAATGTATCCATCAAAATGCTGCAAGAGCGCATTGAACAGACTCCCTCGGAGCTCTCTACTCTATACACTGACATTTGGGGAAGAATTGGAGATGACGTCCACCTACGCAGCATTCGAAGGACTGCTTCGCTCTACTTCAATCTTGCTATTACAGCTCGTGAAGTCAAGGATTATTTGCCGCACATGAATCCCTTCAGCCGCCCAAACACAGACGCTGCGAGGATGTCTTCATTATTAGTCATGGCAGCGGCTGCCCAAGACATGTCAATGGCAGATATATTGAGCGCAGGTCGCCTCATAACAACCGAGGAGCTTCTTGCGAGGTGTTCAAGAGCTGAGGGCGACTTGCAATGGGCTTGCCGTGGCCTCCTTGGGGTGACCAGAACCAACGATACATCCGATTATGTTTGCGGAGATCGCCGCCTGCTGGAATACAACTTCACAAAAGTCGATTTTATCCATAGGACTGCTTTTGACTTTCTCATGGATACAGTGCTTGGTCGTGAGTGCCTTGAATTCTGTGGCGCTTCCAAAAGTCAGCAAGTTTCCAGGCTATTTGCTGCCCATTTGATCAGAGCACGGTTCATCTATCTCAGGGACCACCATCATATTGATTCAATCGATATAAGGCTCCTATCGTGCAGGCAAAATATCAATTATGATGGCTACTTGGAGATGGCCGTTGGTATGTCTTGCGACGATCGGATATCTAGAGAAGACTCAGACCGAGACGGCCTTATAAATGCTCTGAAAGCATGGCAGTCATCTGGTTTATTCAGCGGTGGCAAGTACTGCACTCCTCTTGCATACGCACCGTCAACCTTGAACTCCCTTGAACATTATATGATAGAAGCTGTTACTTCGGTCATGTTGTTGGAAAGACGCAATGAGCATTCAATCGTCGGCTTGAGGAGATTAATTGAGGGATATCCTGAGTCGATACTTCTGAATGCTATTCCACCCATCCTTCGCGCAATGTCCCTTGGGTGTCACCGTCACACGACTTTCAAACATGGTTGCGAGATACTACAATATATTCTCCGCCATTTACACTATATTGCTAGGAGAAAGAGACGCTATCGGGTCGCTGTTAGACGCGCTATTCTCGCTCTGCACTGTTGGTACATTTCAAATTGTTTGGCTAACTTGGCCATGTTTTATAATCCTGTTGCGTTTTATGCCTCGACAGAGCTGAGCGACTATTTTTATGACGAAGACTGGCAGCATATTCTTTTACTTCAGTTCCGAACTTTTCTCAGTCACAAGAAGCGGGTTGATTCCCTTTTCAAAACTCATACCCACTACGCCCTCATTGCTGTGAATCTTGTTGCAACCCACCAATTAATGAATGCCGAGTTGCAGAAGCATTCACCAAGCATTTCCCCCGTTTACGTACCAAAAGATATCAGCTCTCGATTCGATGTAGTACTCGTTGCAGACATATACGAGGAATCCCCCGACAAGTCTATGTCCACCATGAACTTCTACGCTCCTGATAGGTGTCTTCATAGCCAAATTAAACATTGGGTGCAGATGGGGTTGAGTGGAAATGCGAGGCTTGAACATGGAAATACCTGGCAAGAAATACTCAAGTGCTCTGCCGATGAGCTGAGCCCAATCAATGCTTCTAGGGCTTACAATTATGTAGTTGATGAGTTCAAAGATGCGGGACTGGACTTTTCGAGGCCTATTTTATTTGATATCGGGTGATAACAAGGAACTTAAGATTTAGGAAAAGAATTAATAAATCAAAATAGATTATCGTTTACTTTGTATCAGTATCTTATGTATAATTATGATTCAAATTCTTATATAGATTTTGACGTAGATTTCTGTCCCAGGTCCATCCTTTTCTTCCTCATCAGAGCTCCAAGCTGAGAAGCGCCAAAGTGATTTTGTATTCTGGATACTCCATGCTCTATCAGATCGATCTCGGCAGTATCGCCAGGCTTCGCTTTAGCTTGAGAAGTCGGAACAACAACGTCATCGCCGAACAAAGCCGCCATCTCTTCGAGGCTTTAAAGAGACTAGTTCAATTTAGTCAAGGTCTTCGAATACATGATCGAAAGCACTCGCTGTCTCGGGAAGAAAGAAAAAGAAGAACAAGGCAGCACCAGCGTTGGATGTGATGAAGAGTGAATTGACTGATAGTTAAAGCTTATGACATCTCAACGAGACATGACAATGAAGAGTGAATAGTATCTATATATAAAGTCAGTTGTCTCGCATATTTGGGAATCTCAGGTGCATGGATGTACCGACAACTGACATTAATAATAGCCGACAGTACGATTTATAACAAAACGATGGCAACGATGGCAACGATGGTCACGATGGCCTTGGTCGCCACAGCGAGATCCATACCCTTAGTCCTGAAGAGGAAAGGGAATAGTTCTGAAGACTAACCAAACCATGGCGTTAAAGAAGATAGCATAGCTTATCGAATAGAGGAGGACAGAGGCAACGGCGCCTCTCGCGCTAGCCTCGCTGTCGTTATGTGATGGCCCAAATTCTGCGCTGAGAGCGATGCAAATAGCAATCATGACGCAGAGTACTATAGATCCACACCACAGGGCGGAGTACGGGGCATTTTGTCGGCGGAGAAGACGAGATAGCTGATCTAACAGATGATGCCCATCATTCTGGTAACATCACAGCCAGAAGAGCTAGGTAATTTAACAAAAACCAGTTCCCTTAAGGCTCCATGGAAGGGTCCTGACGCTTTTGGGCATTTTTGTATGGCCACTTTTGCACAATATCAGGGAGCTTACCCAGGTTGCTTTCAGCCTGCGCACTGCATCATAAGGCATGATTAGTAACTCAACTGGTGCAAGTCGACTTTGCCAGGAATCCATTAACAAGGCGCAAAGTATGCTTTCCTGCTAAACCACAAAACCATAAGGAAAGCTCCGTTATAAGACGGAGCTGAAACATAATCCAGTTCCCAAAACAATCATAAAACGAGACATAGAAGGGATAAAGGGCTGAAGGCTTGCTGGTGAGGTATGCTACCTTTCCTAATTGGAAAGGCCTCGCCCTGCACCCAGGCTAGGTTGTTTAGTACACTATGTGTAACACTTATTGCAGTAGTGTTATCATTGGTCTGAAACCGGCACCAGCAGGCTGCCATGATGAGGAAGAAGAGAGAACTTTCTCCGCAGCTGGAGCTTGCACGAAAGGGTCAACTTTTGACAGGATAGACATTTCATAGCTCTCCGCCGTCTCCGTTCCCCGGCGGGAAGTGGATAATCGATTGGTCTACGCCCTATGGGGCCCAGGATTGAGGATTGTGCCTGGTATGGTGGAATTTTGAGGAATCTCTGTTGCACTGCCTGAGCTGAGACCCTAAGACCCGGTCTAGCCCCAACCCACAGCGCCATGGCGTGATGCGAACGGCGATCAGACCCCCAAGACCCCGCAAGGCTGAAAGCTGAAAGCAGGGGGCCAGAATATAAAGATGTGAGTTTTGACAGCAATCAACAAGAAAGTCACTGACTGAAAACAAGAAAGAAGAAATGAAATTTAAAGAATCAATTTACTTCAACTGCCTCGAATATGAGACGAAACTCGAGGCACTGGTTGCAGCCCAGAGAGTAAGCGACATTCGAGAGCGGGAAGTGATCAAGAACCGCCAAATATACGGCTACTCTACCAAGATTGGCATGGGTGTCATCCTCTGGCTCCCGACCATGGGACTGTCGACCATCACGTCCATTGTCGGCTTCAGACAGCTTTGGGTGGCTTGCTTAAAACTCGACGTGATCAATCGCATCATCAAGAAACATAAAATCACGCCGTATGACTGCAATCTACGAGATCGTGTCATACCTATCGTTATCAATGTATTAACGGCTGGTGTTGGCTTCGGTACATCAGTGCTGCTGAGCGACATCGCAGCCATGGGAGTCGAGGGAGCATCAGCGCAAGGGGTAGTCTTCGATCCACCACATGGTCTTGGGGAAATAGCAGACTCAGCTACGACAGACCCCAGCAATTTCGCCGACGGCTTCCTCCATGGCGCCGAAGCTCAGATGGATTCACTTTCTGCTGCCCTCGGCCCTGGCGATGCCGCTGCGAACGTGACCGAGGCAACCATGGAGAACGCGGTTCCTCTTTCAGTGGGAGGCGAGTTCATGGACGGTGGGAACGTCGGGTTCGAGGCAGCAGCAATATTAGAGCGGTTCTTGGTACAGCAAGCTGTGGCGAGTTCACTTGAGTATGTGGACGACCAAAGCGCGCGCAATTGTGCATACAGAGAAGTCCTCAAAGGTAACCAGGTTTCTGAGTTGCGTCCTACGGATGAGATGTACAAGTGGCATGAAGAACTAGACCAGGTCCAAGCTGCCATCCAGGTACAATATGTCGAGTTGATCACCGCACATTCAGCATTGCTGAATAGAGGCAGTACAGCGCAATATCTCAGAGATTTGTCAATCGAGATGAGGGATCAAGTAGTGTCACTCGATGCAAGGGCAAGAGATGACTGCTTGAACGCTGAAGATTGCCAAAAAGCTCGGTTCATTAACGCATGGGTTTCTTGTCTTAAGACGTGGGAGGAGAGGATGAAAGAACAGGCCATTAAGCAGGGCGAGTGGCAGATAATTATCAATACGTGGCAAAAGAGCTAGTTGTGTTTATATATTGCTTTTACTATGGTAAAATAGCTAACACTGCGTAAATCTGATAATCAATACACAGTAAAGAATAGTTCATATTACAAACTCTCAACTCTATCCTAAAGATATAATTTATTGCAGGTCAGGATAAGGCAGTTGCGGGCAGAGTAGCGATGTTCTGAAAGAGGGGAAGACGAATCCCAGCGCACTGCCTGAGGATCCTGGAAACGGACGAACTGACAACATTCTCCTCGCGAATGCGTACCTTGTGCACTTCACCCTGGTCTTATCCAAGCTGTGCTCTGTTCTTGGAAAGTGAGACCTATCTACCAAGTTCGCCCAAGACAGGCAACTACTAAAGGCCCTATATCAGCGAAGGTACATCACAGCAGAAGGAAACCTAATGTCAACATCCCAAATAGGTCTTAGCCTTGCCATAAGATTCGGTCTTTATCCTGAGAACGGTGAGCAACGCAAAACTGCTGGTCATGCGTTTGATCGCCTCGTCCGCACGGCTCGCTTCCACATCAGCAGAAGTTTTGCAGGAACACCGGTCATTTCCCACGCGCTATCTGAGATTGGCCGCTCACAGCTTGTCTATAGATAGTATTGACGGGTAAAATCGTTCTTTTTGAGTCAATTGAACCTCTTCATAAACGAGAAAGTCAGAAAATATGACTGTTATCATAAGTGCTTTATATTATAAACCCGTTGTTACGTTTAATATCAGTTCAATCCCTGCTTGAGATTATTCTCGCCTTGCACGCATCCGAACAACTCGGGGCTGCATGGCTTCCATAGGCACCGCAATCTTGTTTATGAAAGTTGCTAAGATATCTTGCCGCTCCTCGAACATCCACTTAAGGACATCAAAACCCTGGGCTGCCCTGTAAACCGAACGAAAAGACGGAGAATTAAACATATCTTCCTGGGTAACAGACCGTTCGCTGAGATCACTATTGTGTTCTTCGAACAAGGCATGTGCAGTGGGTAAGTAGGACTCCCTGAAGGTTTCAAAGTGAGACCGAAAGGTGTTTGAGTGGACCAATTCCCTGATCTTCTTTTCGATCTCGACAGACAGTTGAGCAAATGTCTCATCGCCTATGGCATGATCAAAGAATTCGCCAAAGTCGATAGTAACAAGATCCCTATGTTCTGGATGTTTTGGTGGGTAGGCTGCTTCAAAGGCTGATTTAAGAGCCGGGTGCATGATGTAAAAATAAGAAGACCTGTCATCCAATGTCGATGAAGAAATCCTAATAGCCTCGCACGTGCCGATTGCTAGCCATGACTTAAGCGCGTTTTCCTTCGTCCTCTGTAGTCTGTCGTCATTTTTCTCGATGATTTTGAGAACTTCATCGAGCGCAGCCATGTGTTCATCTACTACCCTGTCCATTTGGTCCGTTGTTGGATTTGTGCACTGTCGCCCGCCATCAGGGTACCCAGACCGAATACCATTGCTCTGCCACCACTCCATTCTCTCCGCATTGAACGTCTCCAATTCTCTTCTTGCTCTCTCGAATCGTGCTCTGTTTCGGACAATGATAACTGACTTAGCATGACTGAGAGAGTATGACGCAATGATCCGATGATGTGGTCGAGTCAGGGTACCAATATTTACCCGCCACGCCACTGTTGTCGGCCAGAGCTTCTCGCCTCTCTTCGTACTTGGTACAGAGACATCGGTGATATCCTTGTGTGGTGCCTTTGACAACAGGCTATTCTGAGGGTACGGCTTTTTGAGGCGATGCATGATGTCAGCGAAAGGGGACTCCCAGCATCGTGACTCATCACAAAAGACAACAGCCACTTCCGGGCTAATTGGAAGTATTAGATGGATCACATCTTCCGTAGTCATCCATATGAGTTGCATCCGCGTTCCTTTTACTTCTGTTCCAAGCACGGATTGAGTATCGCCTTCAAAATCAATTAGTCTTTCGTTGAGGAAGAACTCGTAACCATCGGCTGCTCTCCAAATCTGTAGAGCGTAGTTCTCCACGAAATGTTTGTACGTGTCTTCCGGCCCCATATTGTCGGTTTTTGCAGCATCTTTGAGGAGGTCCTCATGGTCAGTTTCCAGAAGGTAGAGCAGGTGCTCAAGCCAAAATTGAGCCGGCTCTCCTGATCGGCCACTCTCTGTCGAGGCTTCAAGCAGGCGTTGAAACATGAAGTCGTTCTCGCGGTGAGGATTATTGAGCTCGTCTCTGTACTGCTTGGAACGCCTCATGGAAATGTTCATGAACTTGAAGAGGATGTGAATATCCTTCTCAAGGATGTCGATGTGGTCGAGACCTTCGGTCACAGCCGATCTGATTTTGGCGAAAGTGGTGCTAGTTTTAGACTCCAACTTGCTGAAGAGATGTTCTATTTTCATCGGATTATTGCCGTCATTGTTGTAGTAGAGGTTTTGTTCACCACAAGTCTTGCCAACTTCCCCAAGGCAAAATTGTCGACTAGGCACGTCGAATACATGTAAAAGTCCATCAAATCTGCCTCTAGATTTCTATGAGCGATTGTGACGGATCTCGTCAAGGAGACTCCTACCCTTTTAGTTTTGTATTTGCGTGTGCAAATTGCTTTAAGATGAAGCGAGGGATATAGTGGTGGAACTGAACTCCATGAGATGCCATTTTAGAAGCTGCGAAGTAAGCGTGGATTGGATCGGATGGAGCTAAATATGAACACACAAAATGCGTATGCCCAAGGACGATTTGGGAGGAAGGCTTGGTTTACTGTTACACTATTCTTGGTACTCTTTATCGGACCGTTAAAGAAGTTTTATGGTGCAGATATTGTTAGGTTGAAAAGCTTTGTAATGCGGTCTCGGTTGCACTGATGTTCTTTAATGGCGAGGATTTAGTTTGAGGATATGGGAACTGAACGCATGATAAAAGCCCAGCCCTACTACTTTCCCCGCACTCAGCACAGCAGAATAATGAGTCATTCGCCGACATGATGTTTCCAGGTGTGTTGGGCCAATTCATGCGGCCAACCGAACAGAATCAGGCAACCAATCAGAGGAGTCAAAGTTTGCACTTCTGCACTATTTATAGACGCAAGAGCACCAACAGATGGAAGTCTTGCCGGCAATCCCACCGTCATTTTATTCCATTCGATAGCTACGTCTATACGCGAGCTACCAACAATCGAGAGTGGTCGGACTGTCCTTGGGCTTAGCCACCCACAGAAACCCTGGTCATCAACTGTGCGCTGATCGACATCAAAAAGGTACGTTGCTATAGGAAGTAATTTACTATGATGTAGATGTCAAAGCATCGGACTTCTCTCACCGCAAAAATCAGCAAGGATCGAGGCACCTTTAATTAGTGTATATTTTGTCGGTAACATCCTGTCACCAGTGAAGCTGTAATCTTTCGATGGTCGAAAGGATAGCCAGGTCCCAAAGCCTTAGGCTCTGAGGAGATGATTTACGTTATCTCACGAGAGTAGAGATAATTCTACACGATCCATTAGCAGTTATCGAACACCACCTTCAACCGCTTGGCAAACCTGCTGCAGCTATAATAGGCCCGCTGTGAGACTCCCAGAAAGATATTTTTGTCGTCAAGTAGGCTATAGGCAGTACTGGCCATCATACTGCCTAATTCTGAGCCTTGTTGTGGTAACGAAACAGCCATGCACTTTGGCACCAAGTTGCCTAGGTCGAGCTGAAATGTCTTACTATTTGATTTGCAGTCGTGGAACCGGGAGAAGAGACCGTCCCGTCGATATCGCAATGTTGTATAATATAGTGTAAGACGGTAAATTAGTAGAAAGAACTCAATTACAAACGAAAACTAAGCTTGGCAGTTCTCCAAGTCAGCCACAATTCTTCCACAGAGCTCCCGCTCGCTCGCCTTGGCTACTTCGTCATCACTGCTATCAATCATCAGACAACTAAGCACAACATCCGCATAAGTGTCTCCACATTCCCATCTTAACCGGTCCAGATACTTTCTACATATCCTTCTCCTTCGCTCATAGTGATCCTCTTCATCATGGTAGAGGTTTTTGTTGTACCCTGAGTCTGAGTCCGAGTCCGAGTCTGAGTCATCATCGTTTTCCAAGTTCTTCCATAGGCCGACTTCAATAAGAAGAATCCCAAGAGAGTATACATCATATGCGTGACGATACAAACGCTTAGGATCTGCGTGCTTCGCAGGATGCTGGTAGTAGTCAAGTGTAAAGCCACTGATGTTTGTCTCTTCTGTCTCCTCTTTTGTAGCTACCTTCCCTAGCATATTGCGACCGTATATGCTGACACTTCGAGCAAATTGTTTTCGGCGTTTCACCTCTGGGTCCCCGTACGGATTTTTCCAAGTTGCGGTACTGATTGACACCATCTTTGGCATCGTGAGGTCAAGACTTTCCATTTCTGGTCCTGGCGCAGGCGCAGGCGCAGGCGCAGATGGCGGATTGGCTTGGATGACGATATCGTCCGGCCGTGAGAAGATGTAGCCCATGAGGCTGGGCTTTGAGACATCAATTTCGACCTTGACCTCGTATCGATCCTCTTGGAGTGTATTTACATGCTCCGGAAAGAACATGACCGACTCTGCGCGTATGTTCTTGTGCAGCCAGCCACTGGAGTGAAGGAGGCAAACGGCACGCACAAGCTTTCTCGCTAGCTCGAAACGTGCACCAAGCATAGATCGGATGCCTCTTTTCTGCCGGGTTCCAAGTAGTGACTGCAGCGTCACAGGCGCGCGAAGCTTCAGATTCTCCGCAGGCCGCTCACGGCTCTGGAAGCCAATCGTGCCCGGGAGCCTATATAGAATGCTGCAGTGACCTTTATCGTCGCCCTCGGTGTGGTCGATCATACCGACGATATCCAATCCGTATACATTCTTCATCATATTAGCGCCTTGAAAAGTGTCGAAGAAATTTCTAATGAGAGCGCGAAGCTTAGGATCTGCTGGCCTGACTCTCTCGATCGGTTCATCGTCGTCGCTGCTGCTGTATTCACCCATCTGACTCAACTCAAGCTTTCTATGCGATGGCAATGATGATAAGAAGCGCTCCCGCTTTCGACGATGCTTCAGTCGTTGTTTTTGCTCTTGAGTGAAGTCTAGCGGCGGTCCCCGGTAGTCTCTCATTTCCACGTACACGACTTGCTCTTCGAACAGCGCAAGGCCTTTTCCCAGATATCTCATCTCAGGTTTTATCTCGTCAATGCTCGTGAGACTCCATTCATTCACTTCCTTCCTTTCTCTATTCTTATTGACCGATGCTTTCAATGTGGCTGTCGAAGCGAGCAGTTCGTAGCCCTGCCGAACCAAAGACTCTTTGTCGATTTTCGCATGCTCGGTTGCGAGTGTTGAAGTCCACTTAAGACCGTCTGGCGACTCCTGTCTGGCCAAGCATTCCATAGTGAGATATATGTTCATGGACTCGAATGCAATCTCGGGGCAGAGGCGATAGAGGGATTCGCTATGAGATCTCAGGTCGGCGATAAGTTTCTTGAAGTTGTCCTTATCTTTCAAAGCCCATTTAAGCTTATTAAGCACCGTGAGACGGTTTCTGACTTCACAGAGGACTGGCTCGACGTCCTCAATTTTAGCATCCGGGATGATCAATTCGACATCCTGCGTTGGCTGTGATCCGTCCTGAATGGTCTTGGTTGGTTGAAGCAGGATGCCATAGCGCTTGGTCAATTTCTTCTGGTCGGACAGTGTATCTGCCAGAGCAGAAAGAGTTTTGAAGACGCCTTCTGCCTTGAATCGGTTGCTCAAAAGATACGCATGAAGCTTTGACCTCTTTCGTCTGGTATGATTGGAGTGTCCCGGGTTGTGGTCCTCTTCATTCTGAATCTGCCAATGGAAGCCCCAGGCTTTGAGAATTGATTGCTGAATTTCCAGCTCGCGCAGGTGAGCTGAAGATTCTGTCTGGGCTGCATTCACGGTGGTGAAGAAATTATAACAGTCCCGACATGCTGTGTAGAGACTCACAATACCGATTGCAAGACCAGCGACATCCATAATGGAGATAAAATAGGAAATATGTGCTTCTATGCGGTATGGTGAGAGTCGAGCTTGAGAGTTCTCTGAAAGATGTACAGAAGGTCGAGATCTGCATCTAGACCTAATCGCAGCAAGGCATCCTCTTATAATAAATAAGATTACACAGAACAAGGCCGCTTCAAGTGCTGAGGTCATGCAAACCAGAATGACCAGCAAAAATGCCCAGGCGGGCAATGTGTAAGATATGCACTCCGCCTTCTAGGCAGATATCTCTGTGCCCTCTGGCTGACAGACACGTGTATAAGGAACCCCACATTCCGTCCCAGCTACCAATCAACAAACTGCAATCCACTACCAAAATGCAGGTCGACTGACGTCTGGAGCGCCACAGCCTGTGTAATATCATGCGTTTAATCAGGCTGCGCCCGGCTACTGTGGGAGCTCTTTGCTTAAAGGCATGGTTTGTTAAGCCACTGGCTTAAAACATATCAGTGCCTGTATCATGCATATTGAGGCCATACGAGGCGGGGATGCGGCAATTTCCATTGAGCGTTGCTCGCAGAGTGATGTTGGTCAAGCAGCAATATCGCCCAGAATTCACTTTCGGTCACTGAAGGTATAATAAGAGCCTGGCAGATAAGGACGATATAGCTAGAAACAGCTCTTATAAAGGTCATAAATATATTTCCTATATATATATTTATCAGGTTTCCTTACCTGTCTACACTAAGACTGATACTAAGCATAAGCTTTTGTTAAACTCTTAAGCTTATTACTGTTCCATACCAATACACTTAGTCTCCTGCAAGGCACGAGGCCATGGTTCCATCCTAGCATCATGCCAGTAAACATTTTCAGCCAAATAACAAACCCCAGACGCCCTTTACATTCGAGTGCAACTATTAAGCCTACACCAAAGCCATTTCCGGCTATTATGGCGTTTTGTGTTGGGGCTATGGAGAGCTGTGGCTGATGACCCCCTCGAACACCCCATACCTGGGCTGGGTCCAGATTCCTTGGCGCTGCGATATCGACTCTAGCTTCTAGCGATTCGCTAAAATTGTCTCTTTGCGGGCTGTCGTCTCTCGTAGGGCTGAAACTTGCTATCAGCCCTTCACAAAGCGCGGCCCCGTTCTAAAAGCGCCATCTCAGCCACAGGTTTTCAGCTGAACTGGCTGGTCAGTAACCTCAAGCGCCCATCTAGTCTGGTGGGATATTTAAAGTAATTACCAGCCTGTGTGTTACCGAAGGGTCAATCCTCTTCAACTCATCGATCAAGATGCAACTCTCACTAGAATTTCTGTTACCTATTGTGTTGTTATCACAAGTGATAGCTGCCCAGAATTCTGGGCTCAACACTCTGCCCGTCATCTGCGCCGGTGTCAAAGAAGTGTCAACATGCGAGATCAAGGTCATCGTGCCGAATGGCATCAAGGTCAATATGAGGACTATCAAGGTCCCCACGGTAGGCCAGATTCGTTGAAGACCAATGGATAACCAGTGTACTAATACCAAGTAGTGGAACAAATGCAAAAGCCGCGTATCGGCGACACGGAGCTGCCCAACCCTGAAAAAGCCTCTCAGGCGATGTAAAGTATGGACTTGCATTCCCGGTAAGGCTTACCCTCAAAGCTCAAAAAGAATTGACTGACACCTGGTTCAGGTTGGGAGAAGAAATCGAAACAAATTCCTTCCAGTCTAACCATCCTCACCAAGGAGATCGATCTCTGCGATGAGATTCGTAGGACTCTCGGCAGGAGTCTAGGAGACAAATTCATAAAATCATCAGAGGCCCTCTGTGGCTGCTTCACTCGCTTGCAAAACTTCGCAACGACGGGTTCCTTCACGGCGATGTCAATTCGGGGTGAAATAAACACAGCTACCACAAAGGTCGCAGACGACACGCTTAGTATCGAAAAGGTATGATATTCCTCTTTCTTTCCCTATTTCCCGTCTAATACACCCAAGTGTTTTGGAAAGGTTAGTCTACCAATTCTCAACAACAAAGTCGATATTGCAAATGCTATCAAGTCGATCGCTCCCTGGGTCATCGCCCAAGCCAAGGATGTAGGTCTCAACCTCTCCCATTACAAATCTTAGAACTAATGCTCCGCAGATTGACCTTTCGGTCTTTCAATCTCTAGCCCGCGTAGTTGCTGCGTGCCAAGCCGGTAACTGCAACGCAAACTCCATCAGCGCTGCGGTGAATAGTTATCTTGCCCCCTCATTCCAAATGATGGAGCCCCCAATCAAGTCAGTCCTTGTTCAGTGGGATGGCGCCCTAAGTCGCATCCAAGAAAGCGTCAAGGATATCAACGAAGCGGCGGACTCTCTCGCATCCAACTACGATACCATGCGGGCTGAGTTCGATTCAAGCAAGCAAAAGATCTGCAAGGAGCTAAATCGGTGCGATGGACAGGGAGTCCCAAAATTCCTCGACCGGGGTGAGTCTACAGTGCCTTCACGATAATTGCACAAGCACGCACTAACCGCTTGTAGTTGATGAGGTTATTGAAGTTGCCAACACACTCTGGCCAGTCCGAGGCCCCCTTGACGTTCCATCTAACCGGCTCGGCGACAGGCTGGCTGATACGGTTCAATTTCGAAAAGACATCAGAAAGTATCCGGAGGCGGCAAGTCTAGTCTCCATGGTCAAGCAGGGCAAGTTCAAGAAGATCAGCGACATCTTCCTGTTCATGCCCATCGTGCAACGCGTGCCGGAGCTAGCCAAACAGATCAAGACGGACCTTTCACCACTTCAAGATGTCATCAAACAATACAAGCAGCCATCCGGAGACGCCCATAAGAACGTATGGTCGCTCAGCTGGTCCAACATAATCTGGCCAGATACGGAATTAACATCCGACTCACCTGAAGCTGATGCCGCATTGATCGCCGAACTTGACGCAATCGACGAACTAGTCAGAAATTACCTTTCAAGCCCTCTTCTTTCATACAGCAACGGCATTTTCATAATGGAGGCCGAGCTCAGGGGCTTTTCGGTAGTCAACGGTACGTTTGCCATGGAGACCAAGGTGGCGACGTATAACCGGTGGACGACAATATCTATGGACATGCCATGCTCCAAAAAGGAGACCAAGGTGTACAAGAAGAGTGGGCTTCAAAAGTCCTTTTCGTGGAGGACGTATTTCAAGTGCAAAGTGGCTCCCGTGACGGCATATTTCCCCAAGACTCATGTGCTTTATATCAGGATTCGAGGTGGGGCAGGAATAGATCCCAGCGAGCTATAGCATCCCCTTTCATTCCCTTCTTTTCCCAGGCTTTATGTATCTGAATAGGCAAGCTTCAGAAGCAGTGCAACTAGTCAGGATATCAATCAAGCATTCCGCCTATTGTAGGAATTGCCTTTAACAAATTTTCTTACATAGCTGCATTTGGAATGTATTCCATCGTATCAGACTTACACCTAAAATCCGTATTATTTAGATAGGTCCTTGGCTTAGTCATAACATGGCTCTGAGCTATTTAATTGGTGTCATTGAGATACTAGCCGTTGCTGACCGACAATCTGACATAGCAGCTCGCAATCATCCTCCACTCCAACATACCTAAGTTTAATGGTCATCACCAACCACTAGACCCAGAAACCATGCTTCGATGCGCGTTTTGCCGCGCTTTTACTATTGATCAGGATCGTTTTTACCTAGAATTCCACCCAAACCTCACCTCACTCAAGAAAAGCGCTGGAGATGGCTGCGACTTTTGTCATCTTTGCTGGATAGGCTTCCAACGGGAATGGGCACCTTCTGAGATTGAATCTGTCCTCAAGGGTGAAGTTCCGGAAGGAGTTACCAAGTTTGAGCCAGGCATCTGGATTTATGTCCACTTCACAGACTACAGTCCAACTCTCACTCAACCGCGCATCATCGTGTCGTGCGGGAGATATAATCCGATCACTTCTGTGAAGGAAAGCAGCCATGGACTTAGCTACATAAACCTGGCCGTCTACGGGTAATATTCGTTACATCTAGACCATGGTGTTAGAAGAACTACTGATGGGCTTTATAGGAAAGAAGGAACTGCGGCAGGTTCAAGAACACCTGGCCGGATTTGCACAGCGGAATATGAACCTGACTCATATATCACCTTGATCCGATGTTTCCTCGAAAGATGTACAAAGTCTCATCAAGCGTGCGGTGCTGATGAGACGTACGAAATGCCCACCAGGGTCATCGACGTTGGCCACGCGAAACAAGGAGACCTTCCACGACTTATCGTAACTGGCCAGAGCATGAAGGAGAAATATCTTGCACTGTCTTATTGCTGGGGACCCGGTACAGATACCTTCACCCTCAATCTCACGACGATGGAAGGAATGCTGAAAGGTATCGACGAGTCCCGCCTCGTAGCTGCACATCGCGATACTATAGCATTAGCCCGCCAGCTGGGCATCCGATACATCTGGATCGATGCTCTATGTATAATCCAGGGCGACAAAGATGACTGGGAACGTGAATCAAAGCTCATGGCCAAAGTATATGGTCACGCAACCCTTACCATCACGGCAGGGAGATCAGGCGATGCTCGCAACTCCTTCATCGCCAATACCTACAAACAATCTGCTCCCTGTTGCGAGTTTCCTCTTGGAGATGGTCTTGGTGGAAATGTTCTTGTTGGCCCACTGAGATCAACTGACTACGGTGTTACTGAGACTCGAGGCTGGTGTTGTCAGGAGAAGAGGCTGAGCCGTCGGGTGGTGTTCTTTGGCAAAGAGCAACTCTTTTTCCTATGTCGAAGCTCCGGTTACTCGGAAGACCGCAGCTATCAGGAAGGTAAATCTGTCTTACTGCACAGCTTTCTAAAAGATGGCAACGGGAGTACGCAATCGACCCGGGATCGGCTCCTGCAGTATTGGGACGAGATTGTAGTCGACTTCTCTAGACGTCAATTGTCGAACCCTCATGACATTTTCGCTGCACTTGCCTCCATCGCCGAACCTATCTCCAAGGCTCTTCAGTCACGCTACCTAGCCGGTCTCTGGGAGTGTGACCTTGTTCGATGTTTGCTTTGGAGACCTGGTTATAGAGTGAGCAGCTTCTTTGGACCAGCGACGAGACCTTTGCCAACTATCTTTGCATCTGCCCCGGTTATCAGAGCGCCTTCTTGGTCTTGGGCTTCCATTCAAGGTGGCGTCAAGCCCCTCACAATCCAACAGTTTCGGCGGATGAAGACAGAGAGCCAAAGCGGAACACCACTGATAAGGCCGAAGCAACAACAGCCTGACCGCTGGACGGTAGATCCTCACTGTGGAGCCGACGCCCTACACATGCCGTCTTGCGAGCTGCAGCTTCTGGGGCAGATTCAACAAGCAATCGTGCTCACGCGAACACCGTCGAGTGAGTTCATCGCTTCTCTTCGAAAGCAAAAGAGGCCAGCAGGTACTATGCGCCGGCCAATTGTGTTAGGGCGTAAGGAGCTGAAGGGAGGGAGCCTGAATAAAGATATGTCGGTTTTTGTGGCGTTAGGGATTTTTGACTTTGACGAAGAGGGTATTGAAGAAGTTTGGTGTTTGCAGCTTACACTAGAAGAGGGGCTCATGCTCTGCAGGAAAGATAATGAGACCTTTCAGCGTATAGGAGTCTTTCAGGTATGTAAACTGGACTGGTTTGACAGTGTAGCAGAGTCAGAAGTTAGGCTAGTGTAAGGGCTGTTAAGGTATAGATTGACTTCCTCTTTTTACAAAGATTTAAGCACGGCGTAGATAAACAATAAGCACTGTGTTCATTAAGATCTATTTCTTTATTGTGTTCCATTAAATTAGGCCCTTTTCCCTCCATCTCTCTTCACATTGCATGTGAGCCCCAGAGTATCGTGGAATATCTCCCATCTCACAATTCCTCCAGTATGTCCCCAAAATCTTGCATTGTGCAGAAGTAGTTGCTCTCATTCCTGCGAGGTATGCAGGCGTAGCCATATGTGGATAGTATCGGGATCTTGAGCAAGCTGATTCAATGATATGGCAGATCCTATCCACAGAAAACTCCAGCGTTACCTCAGAAGACGTCTCTTCACTGGGGCTTTGGGTTGTGAGGACAGCTATCACAGCGGCGCAGCGATAGATATCACTGCATTTCCCCTTCTCTGTCTTGTCCATTCCAAGCTTCAGAAGCTGCCCCATTGCTCGAGTGAGGCTGTCTGATAAATTGGTAGAATCTTTGCTTTGTACCAGAGAGACGAATAGCCAGAATGTCTCTGCTGGACATCCGACCCTATCGAAGAAGTCTCGTCCCAGCGAACTTCGATGCCAGTCGTCAAAGATGAGGCCGCTCTTGGTGTTACTGGTGGACTGTCTGACCAAGGCTCCAATAGTATCCCACCAAGCGAAGTAGGCGACAATCTCCTCTAGACCTGTAAAGCGCCTTGATAATTGCTGGAACTCTTCACTGTTGCTGCAATGGCAATCTAGTAACGAGCGGGCTCCACGTAGATGACAGTCCCATTCGCCAAAGACACCGTCTGACACGACCTCGAAGAAAGCAAAGACTGCTATACCCAGGAAGGCAGCTGGATCGGCAGTGTTCAAAGCTTCACTTAGACTCTTGAGAGCTGCGAGCCGATGCCACATGAGCGTGTCCTCATCTTGCGTCCCTTCTCCGGATGATAATGATGACGGTGAAGTTGGCAAAGCAGTATCGGTCGTTGATCCCCTCCTCTTACTTATCCTCGCCCTGAGAAAGTAATCTACCTGATCAATAAGCCCCAAACCCTGATCCACACAAACATCATCATTCGTCGCCAACCTCGCAGTCTTCAAACTACTACCAAACGCCAGCAAATGCTCCACAACCTCATGCTGGTCCGTCGCAAGCGACTTTTCAATCACAGCACTTCTATTCTCAGCCCTGCTCGGCTTCGGCGTCGGATTCGCTGCCCATACGACTCTCTGTGGATAATCTCCGCATGCGTATCCTGATTCGACGCAGGGCCGGCAGCGCGGTCTGTTGAGATCGCATTTGACGCCCCTGGCTTTGCAGGTCTGACAGTCCCGATCTCGGCGTATACCACGTGGCTTGCCCCTGGGGAAATTGGTGGTCTTTGACCGAGGCATTACGAGAGAGTTGACGATGAGGGTGATAGATTGCTTTCCGAATGAGGTGGATTATGGGGCAGAAATGGAGATGGAGGATATAACGCAATGCAATGATGCAGGATTAAAGTTGGATCTGCTTATCATGCATTTCTGGCCGTTGACTCGTGTAGATAGCGCGAACTGGACTAAAGATTTGGTTGCTTTCCTTGTTTGGTCTGGTGCAGGACCGGAGACGCTTGCGGGGGTGGCACGCTCCGCTGAACGACTCGTCTTATCAGCATCACAGGAACGAAAGCGTTATCGCAATGCTCGGGTATAGCGACGGGAATAGTCTCTCGCACCCACTCTCATGCTAATCCGATTCTAGCATTCGCCCTCCCGCATACCCTAGATAAGCCAATTCACGAGCTAAGTCTCTGCAATAGTTAACCACGTGCAAGAATACGTTTCAAAAGATGATCAGCTTAAACACTATAATCTCATTCTGGAAACTCTATTCTATTTGTTGCAAGGTAATGTACCATTTTTATCCACCTCTTTCGCATATAGTACTTTTGGAAACAATGTCGCACAATCTTGTGGTTTAGAGCGACAAGTCATCAACACGAACGTAGGGCCAAAATATATGAAGACCTCAACTTGCTTGGCAATTTGATTTCAGAATAAAAGTTGCAAGATAAACTTCTCATTATCAACGCTTCGCTACAAACGCTCTAATAGGTGCACCTGGAACCTGGTATTCTCTAAACTTCCCGGAAATCTCAGACCTGCCGGCAACTTATACTCCTTCTCATGGCCACTTTCAATAAGTTTCGTCCAAGCCGGTTGTTTCTCCTCCTCTGAACTTATGCTCTTGGGCGGTAGGAGAGCTTGGTAAAGAAGCCACTCAAGTGGGTATTTCTTTTCCTCTCCTTTTTCACTGCTGCCAGGCAGCACGACATCAGCCCCGGGGCTATCTACAATAAGCAATAGACTCCCTTTAGGCGCTATCTCAGTCACTCTCATCAAGAAGGCTGTAGTTTTGGATATTGAGATCGAGTAAAATTCGTGGAGTGTGAAGAAGAGTGTCATAAGTCCCGGGTTGGGCCCAATCGTCGTGCGTAGAGTTGTGCTGTCGCTTTCGAGGATGTTGTGGCAGTTGACTGATAAATCTAAGACGTGAGAAGGGATGGTAGAAATATTTGAAGCGCGCGCCTTGGCTGTTGCATATTTAGAAAGGGGAGGAGGATGTGTGAGAGTATGTTGTAGTTTTGTGACAATGTCTGACCAATCATGCCTATCGATGAGGTTGAGATCAACCATAGCACTGTTGTCGTCATCAGGAGAAGGTGACTCTGACCGGGGAATTTCGTCGAGCTTGTTTTCATGAGAATGCTTAAGCAATGCCACGCACGCTAACAAATCAGATCCTCCTCGTCCAAAGCACACGATCTTGGACGGCTTCTGCCCCTCATTATGAAGAAACTGCTGGACCCATGCAGCCTCGCTCATCTCACTGCAAATCCACGCCAACACATTTCCAATCGTCAGAGCTCTACTAGGGCTCCAACGGATCGTATAAGCCTCCAAGAACTCTTGGCTCCCGAAAGCTTTGCCGTAGTCCTTTTGCTCAAGAGCTTCCCTGATCTCGCGCAACACTGGTTTCAATGCACTGAACTCATCCACGACAGGAAATGTCGTTCTGATTGTGTCAAGAATGAGTTGTTGATGCTTAACAGACAGAGTCTGGATCTGTTCAGTTGAGCTAGCATTATCCTTCACTGCTGTAGGCGTCTTTTTGGCGGGTTTGTGTAAATAGCTTGGTCCAGTCCATCCTGGACGGCGGACTGGTGGTGCAACCGGTGCCTTGGATGCACCGCTTGACTGCGGTTTGCCATGCTTTGGTTGCGATTGTGCACTGCGCTTGAACTTCTTCATGGTAGATTCCTAGTGTATGGAGATTTTGACGATTTTAAAAGTAATCCGGCACGAGCTTGGGTGAATGGCACAGGGTTGTTGCTAAGCGAACATTTACGAAAAAGTAAAAAATTCCAAGCTCGATCGGCAAAAGTATTTTCCGACATATCGCTGCGGAGACTTTCGCTGGAGTCCCCGCGGATTGGGCCTGCTGGCTTAGATACATGAGACTACAACAAGCAAATAAGCAGACTCTTGATAGAAATGCACCTAAAAAGGGGAGAAAATTTAGTCGATATTTGGGAGTTCCAGATTCAATTATAGAGCTCAATACTGCCCCTCGACAGTCAAGGTGCCCGTCTTGGTGATCAAGAACTCATCAATCGCAACATCCTTACCACTCTCTTTTCCATGTCCACTATCCTTGATTCCTCCAAAAGGCGCTTCAGCCGACGAGCTATTGCCTGCGTTCTACACCAAAAGTTAGCTTCTCCTGACCAAAAAAAAATCTTGCAGATCGACTTACCAATCCAATCATTCCAGCATCGAGGTTCTCAAACATTCTCCACAGTCTATCCACGTTCTTGGTAAACACATAGCTCGCTAAGCCATAAGGAGTGTCGTTTGCTCTTTGGACAACCTCTTCTTCTGACTCAAAGCGGTAAACGCCAAGGAGGGGAGCAAAAATCTCCTCGTGCGTCATGAGCATTTCGTCCTTCATTTCGGTCAAGATAGTTGGTTCCATGAAATATCCCTTCCCTTCGTAACGTTTCCCTGTTCCAAGGACAGCCGTTGCTCCCTTGCTGACAGCATCTTCGTATAACTCCTCCGCCTTCTCGAGACCCCGTGTAGTCGTCAACGCGCCCAACGTGGCACCTTCCATCATACCATGGCCTAGCTTCAGCTTACGAGTTTCAGATACGAGTCTCTCAACAAAAGAGTCATAGATGTTGCTCTGAACAAACACTCGGTTTGACGTGACGCAAGCTTGACCCGCGTGCCTCCACTTCAAAGCCATGAGCTGGTTCATGACCTGATCGACATTGGCGTCATCAAACACGATAAAGGGGCAGTTCCCGCCGAGCTCAAACGTCGTCTTCTTGAGATTCTGGGCACACAGGCTGGCGATGATCTTGCCAACTCTCGTGCTACCAGTGAAGCTCACCTTCTTCACAAGCGGGTTGAGACAAAGTGCTTCAGCGACTGCTGGTGTATTCTCAAGAGATGTCGTAACCACGTTGAGGGCACCAGGCGGAAAGCCTGCTTTTAACGCTAGATAAGCGACCGAAACTGCTGTGAGGGGTGTCTCGGGCGAAGGCTTGATAACCATTGTGCAACCTGCGGCAAGGGCAGCAGCTGCTTTGCGCAATGCTAGAGCGATGGGGAAGTTCCATGGAACAAGAGCAGCTGCAACGCCAATAGGTTGTTTGATCGTCATGGCGCGTCGACCAGGAATAGCGCATGTAAGGGAAGACCCATGCGCTCTGTCTGCCTCACCCGAGAACCACCAGACGAATGTAAGGGCATAGTCGATTTCGCCGCGGGCCTCTTCTAAGGGCTTGCCAGTCTCATGAACAAGAATATGAGCTAGATCCTCTCGTGCGGTAACCATCAGATTATACCATTTCATGATGGTTTGAGCGCGGAAGCGCGGTGTTGTCTTGGAGTAGCTCTTGAAGGCTTCGTAGGACGACTTCACTGCTGCATCGACGTCGGATGCTGTGCAGTCTGGGCATGATGCCCATGTCATGCCGGTTCCTGGGTCGATGACATTGAAGGTCTTGCCTTCTTTTGAGGAGACGAATTCTCCATTGATGAGAGACTTGGGACGAAAGAGGGAATCGTCTGTGAGGCTGAAGGGGAGATGATGTGAGCTTCCCATGATGATGTATGGTGGTATGAAGGAGGCGAAATGAGATTCTGGGGAGAAGAGAGATATGCGATGATTGCTAGGAGAATACGGATTGGGGTGGTGGATGCTGATGTGTGCCTCATATGATAGATCATCGGTCTTAGTTTCTTGGTCCGTCAATTGGCCGATGCTATCCTTCCGCTTCAGGTACCGACCGACCCGTCACAGGGACCATGGCAAGGTCCGCTTTTACCCCGCGCTGAAGCATCACAGGAACATAAGACACTAATGTCCAATTAGGAAGGGAATCTAATCCGAGATGCGTGTACCTCGAGTTGGCAATCGCAGCGCTATCCACCTTACTGAGGGCCATCCTGGGCCAAGAACCAGCCGGTAAATCACTCCATATGGTCCAAGAGTGCAATTAGGAATAATAGGCTTAACGAGCTCGAGAATCTTGCAGACGATGAAACATGCAATCGATGACATTTTTATTTTTATTAAAACTGAAAGAATAGTAATAAACTGCCTTGACCCACTTCCTAAGCTTATACACAGCGACCTCCATCAACCTGTAAGGTTTTGTTAGTATCAGTATATCGTGTTCCAAAATCAGAGGCCATACCTCCAGATCAACACCAGTAATGAAAGATGCTTCATCACTAGCCAAGTAGCAGCAAGCATTGGCGATATCGCTGGGTGTCGAAGGTCTGCCCATTGGAATTGTTGAAACAAAGCCCTTTCTGTTCTCCTCGGTATCTGGCTTGCCGATAAACAGATGCGTCCTTACAAGTTAATTAGAATGTTCTAATGACCAAGCGCAAGAGGACAACTTACATGCCAGTGCTTCCAACAACAGGAGAAACAGAGTTGAACCGAATCTGCTTGGGTCCATACTCAACAGCCATGGTCTTGGTAGCATTAATAACAGCCGCTTTGGAAGCATTATACCACGTCAGCTCAGGCCTAGGCCTAATGCCCGCCGTGCTCGCAACCTGGATAAAACACCCCGGTCTTCCCTCCTTCAAGAAGTACGGCACCAGCACGTTAGTAGAGTAATAAACACTCTTGACATTGACATTCATTACGAGGTCAAAGTCCTTGGGCGTGACCTCCTCAGTTGGCTTCTTGGAGTAAGCTGCGCCAGCATTGTTGACGACAATATCGAGCTGTTTGTACTTCTCAATAGCAAACTCAAGAACACGACCCCAGTCATCTGGGTTGGTCACGTCGGCGCGGGTAAAAGAGCAGGATAGTTCTTGAGCGACGGCTTGACCCTGCTGTTCGTTGAGGTCGGTGATTATGACGTTGGCGCCTTCGGAGATGAATTTTGTGGCGATGCCTTTGCCGAAGCCTGATGCGCCGCCAGTCACGATTGCGGTCTTTCCTTGGAGACGGCCTGACATGATGAGTATGAGATTTTGATAAGGGTTGAGTGTGTAGGTTGAGCGAGAAAGAGAGTGTTATCTCGTTTGGTCTGTATTTTTATGTGTTGATTGGCTTCCCCACGTTTTAGTGACTTGGGTGGGAGACTCCGTTTCACTCCCTTCCAGAAGAGGAAACCAATGAATACGGGGGCCAGAACTAGTGAGAGTGCGGGGTAATTTAGCAGTCACAGGAATAAAAAAGTCTTGGCTGCATTCATCATCGGCATTAACCACCAACAGATGTAACTATCAGTCCGAGATCGGCAGACTGAATACTAGACTATTTCCCATTATCTTGTAGTCTCCAGTCCTCTTCTGACCCTCTCACTATCTCACCACTCACCCCATCACATCGACTTCAATCATGTCAGAGAACAAAGTATTTCGCGTCCTCATTCTCCCTGGCGACCATGTCGGTCCTGAAATCATGGCCGAGGCCCTCAAAGTCCTCGACATAATCGAAGCAAGCCGCCCAGACATCCGCTTTGAACGAGACACAGACATCGTCGGCGGATGCAGTATCGACAAGCACGGCACTCCCGTCACAGACGCCGTCCTCGAAAAAGCCCTTGCGAGCGACGCCGTTCTCTTCGGCAGCATCGGCGGTCCAGAATGGGCAGGCGTAGAACCAACTCCCGAGTCAGGACTTTTGAAGCTGCGTCAACGTCTGGACGCCTTCGCCAACTTGCGTCCTTGTGAGATCCTCGTTCCATCGCTAGTTAGCGCATCACCCATCAAGGCTGAGCTTGTAGCCGGGACAAAATTCATTGTTGTGCGAGAGAATTGCGGCGGTGCTTACTTTGGAAAGAAGGAAGAGAGTGAAGATGAAGCATCTGATCTTTGGATCTATTCACGACCTGAGGTTGAGAGATTGGCTCGTGTGAGTGCAGCTGTTGCGAGGATCTTGCATGCGAGCAGTGAGAAGGCAAACGATGGTAGTAAACCTGTGGTTTGGAGCGCGGACAAGGCCAATGTTCTTGCGAGTGGCCGTCTCTGGAGGCGTGCAACTACAGACATCTTCAACAAGGAGCTCACAGATATTGATCTTCGCCATCAACTCGCTGATAGTCTCGCCATGTTAATGGTCCTTGATCCCAAGCGCTTCAACAACAGCGTCATTCACACCGACAACACATTCGGCGACGTGCTCTCAGACATCTCCGGTGGCATCACAGGCACTCTCGGTGTCCTCCCCAGCGCGAGTCTCGCTGGAGTTCCAGGTGAGGGATCCTGCAAGGGAATTTATGAACCTGTTCATGGAAGTGCACCTGATATCTCTGGTAAGAACCTCGCCAATCCCGTAGCGCAGATCTTGAGTTTGGCGATGATGTTGCGGTACTCGTTTCTGCTGGAAAAAGAGGCCGATGCGATTGAGCAGTCTGTTGCCAAGGTCCTAGATACGAAGGAGGGCGGTGGATTGGAGATCAGGACGAAGGATCTTGGGGGTAGTGCTAAGTGTAGTGAGGTTGGAGATGCGGTTTGCAAGGTTTTGCAGGACTTGTTGAAGAATTAGTACGAGTTTTCACAGGCAAACCACGAAGCATTTGGAGACTTTAGAATAACAGCATTGTTAGATTTAAACCCGTAAACTTGACCCCGAATAATTGTGACTCGTGCTAGGCAGACCAGATCAAGTGCCGAGGCACGGACCACGGCCCACGATATTTGCCCCAACTCGATTCCGGATGTTCAAATTTCAAGATTACAATTGCTACCAACACCTGCTGATAGACATTTTCGAGTCAACAATAACTTAAATGGCTAGATCAAAGCTGCCTCCACAGGAGACGGGACAAAAAAGCGACGCTGCCAGACCCAAAAGACGCCGGATTGACCGCCAAAGACCCGACGTAACATATTCTCGCAAGCGTGCCATCGCGGCCTGTCGAATATGTCGCGTAAAGAAAATCAAGTGCAATAACGTCCGGCCAGTTTGTGGATCGTGTGTGGCATCCCAGTCTACTTGTACCTATGAAGGCTATGAGGAGGACCATTCATCGTGTGTGGCCCTTGTGACAATTTACTAACTAACCTTGCTGACCAACGACTTTTTAGTTTTGACCCTGCCAGTATTGCCATCCTCCAACGTCTGAACCAAGTCCTCGAGAGCGTTGGAGATATTCCAGGTATAATCAAGGCCAATGTTGGGACAGCCTTGAAAAATACCGCAAGCCCGGCTTCGCGTATCGTACCAAGCGTTGACGCGTTCTCGGATAGCCAGGGTTTGAGCTCTGACGATGTTACCGCCCCCACTGGGATATTAAGCGTCGAGTCTGTTCTTGAATGGCCTACTCTGGCGGAGATCATTGCTCCAAGTCATATTCTCGAGGCTCTATCGGATACAAAAGCTGGATGTGGCCATGCTTCTTTGACCTGTCGAACAGACCATTCTCCGGGCTTCAATGCGGAACAGACGCCTATCGCAGTGGACGAGAAAGAAATACCGAGGCTCGTACGGAAGTTCTTGCAGCACGTTCATCCTGTGAACCCTATTCTCGACGTTGATGAGATCTACTCGAACAGTTTCCGCATTTCAGAAACCGGCATCACATGGGATGGAGAGTCATGCATCGTGGTCCGTGGAGCAAAAAACCTTCAGACAAATAGGATATACTGACACATCTCCCAGCTCATCGCCTGTGCCCTGGGATGCATAGCAAAACCGTACGATACCATGGTGACTTCGCCATCGGGACCATCAGCCGAATCCTCCATCGAATCACAAGGTGAAGAGTTAGAAATGGCGAGTGCTTACTTTCATCTTGCTAGACAAAGACTGGGCTTGCTGGATCAAAGTCTTCTGGCTGCTCAGTGTCACTTCTTCGCCGGAGTATACTATATGTTCACTCTCGCTCCCCTACGCGCCTGGTCCCAGTTTGAGCATGCTGCCAGTACTTTCTATATTTACTGGACCTATTTGTCGCGTCAAGACTCGCAGCCCGAGCACCTGAGACGACTAGCTCGAAGCCTTTACTGGAGCTGTCTCAAATCCCAAGTCGAGCTTGGTCTCGATCTACATCTTCCCCAAACTGTTCTGAAGGATCTACTTGATGCTGGGTCCGAGCTACCTACTCCCCCTGAGATAAGTGAGCGCCATCCTCAACATACGACGGCTATATTTCCAGCACCCGGGGAAACCTCCACTGAAGACCTTGAGGGTGTGCAGGAGGAGAGTTGGTACTATTACCTTACCGAGATAACGCTCAGAAGGTTCAATAACCGTGCATTCAACGTACTGTATCGCGATTGGAAAGGCTGGGGTACCTCAGGATCTCTAAGTATAGAATCACTTATTTCAGCAGTGTCACAGATTGAGGATCAATTGGATAACTGGTGTGCCTTGTCCATCTCTCATGTACCAGCACTATAACCTGACACTAACATGGATTAGGGCTCAGACGATGCCTCTTATGGCTCAAATCACCATGGGTGAACTACCTACTAACAAACTAGCTTTGCTACTCTATGCTAGAATTCTGGAACTCAAGTGTCTCATTTATCGGCCATTTCTGTACCATGTCGCCCACTCCACCATGAGTGAAAGAGAACAGCTTGAGATTAGTCCCTTCGTTGAGAAAGGTCTCTCTTGTCATTTTCTCGCCATTACAATTGGCTACCTGCACTATCGAAACCATATAACGTATTATCATTTCAGGACATCAACAGCATCTGCTCTCTGTATCTTGGCAATCGTCAAGTCTAGGAGAGTGCATGCTGTTCATGAGATGGACTGGCGCGGTGGTGTTAAGGGATTGGTCAAGAAGATTCGGTATTGGGAAGACGAGGCTGCCATGGCTGGGCGTTGTGGGGACGTCTTGGAAGCTGTTATGTCGTCTGTGGAACACTCGCTCCTGTAAGACCTGCAATCAATCAGCCGTCGGAGCCACGTGAAGGAATAAGGCACATGGGGCACTTGAGATAGTCGAAAGGATCATGGACAGTTGGACCAGAAGATATTGTTCAGTTATCTAAGAGGGAAGCGATCGACCTTGTTACCGAGGACCGCCTTGCTCTTCCCCATCCATGAACAAATGTACGAAACAACATCCAGATTAGCCCATGGAGTCGACGCAAATCCTTTGTTAAACTTGAGACTTCCTTCTCCACTCCATCTCTCACTAAACTCAAACTGCATATCAACAGCCACAAATTCTCTCAACGCAGGCTCATCTGGGTCTGTACTCGGGATGACGCGCAGATTCAGCACCTTGGGCGGAGCCACTTCTCCCCACGAAACATGAAGAAGCGCCTTTGGCGCAAACTCAAACTCAATCAGAGACCTTCCTGCAGGACGTTCTGCGTTTCCCATCATGACTCTCGACCCAGCTGACGGGTGAAGATTGACTTTTCCAAAGATCTTGGGATAGCCAAAGATTTCTCTCCCAGCGAAAATGGCGCTGTCATTATCGAGAAGGAGAACTAACGAATAGTCATATGCGTTGCTGTTATACTTGACTCTCACGGTATGGACGTATTCGTTGTATTCGCCCACGGTAGAAGTGCCATAGTGGATAAATGCGGAAGTCATGATTGGTTGGTCTTCAAGTTCGAGTTCCTGGGGTACAAGGTGTTGAATCTGCGAGGCCTGAACGCGGTACGAGATAGAGACGATAGTCATGTTGCTGAAGTGGAACGGTTCTTGGGAGACGTATGGTGGTGCGAAAACGGGAATGGCCCTGTCGTCTTGCACAGAGAGTGATCCGAAAACCATTGTTAATGAATGCAATGACCTTGTTTCTTAGAGTATCAACTTTACGGTTTTAAATTTCAGCATATCAGCGAGATTGGCCATTTTATGTCAACTTCGTGATAGAAGGCCAGTCTTACTTACAGTCTCGTGCTCGGGCTAGTACATCACCCCGAGCCCGGGCCCGTGTCAATGCCGGGTCTAACATGTCCGGTACTCCCCGGGACTAGGTGCTCCACAGTAGCCCATCACCAAGTGACAGACATGTCCGGTACTCCGCGGATCGCCATTCCGCCACATTGAGACCAATGAAGGTTCGTGAAAGCCAGCCTCAGAAAATAGTGTGAATAATCTTTCGTCCAGTATTCCCCAGAGATGTTTTGCCGGGATTAGTACTTAAGGCCAATAACCTACCGGTGTAACTCGGCAATGATATACTTGCGATTCTAAGCTGTTTCTTTTACCGCTCACAATATGATGAAAGCCTTTTCCTATGATAATCCCGCCTCTGGTCTTCAACTGAAAGACTTGCCTGTCCCGGAGCCAGATGATGAGAGCGTTCTCATTGAGGTCAAGGCCGCAGGAATATGTCACTCAGATTGTCACATCGTCAGTGGCCATGGAGACGACTACATCGCCAAAAAGCCAATTGTGCTCGGGCACGAAGTCGCGGGGATTATTAAAAGGCTCGGTCGGAACGTTTCTGGCTTTCAGATCGGAGACGCTGTCACACTCGCGCTCCTAATGCACCCTGTCTCGGAGCGCACCAACGGCGCATACGTCGGGTTGAGCTTCGATGGCGGTTATGGCCAATTTGTCATCGCGCCACAGAGAATTCTCGTCAAAATACCTGACGGTATATCTTTCGCACAAGCTGCTGTTGCGACAGATGCGTTGGCGACTTCTCACCATGCTGTCGTAGGTGAAGCCGGCGCTCAGCCCGGATTGGCAATGGGTATTGTTGGTCTGGGCGGACTGGGTATGCATGGTTTACAATTTGCCTGCCTAAAAGGATCCACCGTGTATGGATTCGATGTCAATAAAGACAAGTTTACGCAAGCAAAAGGCTATGGGGCGAAGGACTGCTTTGCGTCTCTTGACGATGCAACCAATGCTGGCTTAGCATTTGATGTTATTGTTGACTTTGTCGGCCACTCTTCAACCACGTCAAGTGCGATCAGGACGGTGAAACCTGGTGGTAAAGTCATCACTGTTGGTCTTGCGTCGTCGGACGTCACGATTCCATCAAACACAGGTTCGGGGTACATCCTTAAGGGCGTCACTATCGTTGGATCCATTGGCGCATCAATGCAGGACCTGAAAGATGTTCTGAGACTTCTAGCTAGGGGTGCTATCAAGCCAGAGCTTACAGAGGTTGCCTTTGAGGAAATACCAGAGACTATCAAGCGGCTGGCAGAGGGAGCTGTGGCAGGTCGCGTTTGGACGGACCCAAGCAAGGCACATTTTTAATGGCGTCCTTAGAACAATTGGCTAGCTTGAATAGCATTATATAAGATCTCGGCGATACTTCCCGGCTCTGTTACAGTGACAGCGCACTTTTTGGGCTCAACTACGCCACCATTCAATAGTCACACACAAGTCAAACTGAAAAGTCCCACATAATGAGCTTAGCGGCAAAGCTACACTAACCATCTACAAGGGCAAAGAACTCGGTAGTCACAAAGGGAAGATTAAGATCAGGCATGCAAAATGAAGGTCTAATTAACAGCTCGACTAGAAGGTCATTATTCTAAAAAGCTCCCGGAAGAAGAAGAGGTGAAGGAGATGCTAGCATCTAGAGAAGGGCTGCAAAGAGAGCAGCGAAGAGGGTAGCAGCTCCAACGACCTGCTTGCCGGCACCGTTGACGATGGCTGGGACAGTGCCAGTGGGCTTGGAGCCGCTGCCAGTAGCAGTGGCAACGTGGCAGTCAGCACCGTTGCAGTGAGAGCCGGTCTCCTCAGAACCAGTAGGCTTGGCGGGGCAGCTAGGTCCGCTGCACTGAGGAACAAGTGTGACGACCTTGGTGCTGGGGCAGCTGGGACCAGAGCACTGAGGACCGGTGCTGGGGCAGTGAGGGCCAGAGCAGGGAGGGACAGGGCCGCTGGGGCAGTGGGGGCCAGAGCAGTGAGCGGTACCGTTGGTCCAGGTGCCGTTGGTAACGGGGTGAGTGTAGCCACCGTGGGTAGGAACCTTGACAACAGGGCACTTGGGGCCAGAGCAGACAGGGACCAACTCAGCCTTGCAGTTATCAGGGGTACCCCAGCTGTTCTCCCAAGGCTTGTAAATAACCGTCTCCTCCTTGCAACCGCAGTCAGCAGCGACGAAGAAGGTCTCGTGGTTCCACCAGTCGTGGCACTCCTGGGTCTTGTAAACGATCTCACCGGCACAGCTTCCACCGGAGCAGAACTTGGGGACGTATTGTTTACCGCCCTGGCAAGAGCACTCCTCAGTGATGTAGACCCACTCGTTGTCACAGTCGCTGCCATTGACCTCGATGAAGATGAAGACGGTGCGGTCAGAGCCCTCAGTGTAGCACTTTCCGTTGACACAGATCTGGACGGCGGTGACGGTAGCAGTGGTAGTGGTCTCAGCGTTAGTGATGGCAGTGGTGAAGGTGGTGGTGACAGTGGTCTGGTCGGTGACGGTCTCAGTAACAGAGTCAGTGACAGTGGCACCAGCACCGGCGGCAGAGACGTAGACGGTCAGGAGACGGCCAGCGGGAACAGCTTGACGGGCCTTGAGACGGTTGAGGCGGCCATCACCACCACAGAAGTTGTCCTTGTCGCCAGGGCACTCAATATCACACTGGTCGACATCAACACGGCTGGTGTTATCGGCATCAATCTCGTCACCGCAGTAGCAAGCACTGGAGAAGTCAGTATAATGTTCTGCAGTAGAAGGGTCAGGATAAAACTTACGTATCGTAAACACCGAAGTAGGCACGGCCAGTGCAGGAAGAAGCACAGAGCTCAAGATCCATCTGAGCGTTGGTCTCAGCAAGCTCGAAGGTGGGGAAACCGGCGGAAGAACCGACACAGCCGAACAGGGTGAAGACACCGACGGAACCGGGGAAGCCAGCGGGGGAAGTAGCAGAGGCAGAAGCAGAAGCCTCGGTGCCAGTGGCAGTACCAGTAGGAACAACAGTCTCGCCCTCAGAGTTGGTAGTAGCACCCTCAGAGTTGGTGCCAGTAGCAATAGCAGAGCCAGTCTGGGTACCGGTAGGGAAGACGGTTTCACCCTCAGAGTTGGTGGTGAAGCCAGCGCTGTTGGTCTCAATGGCAGTCTCAGTGCCAGTGGGGATGACGGTCTCACCCTCAGAGTTGGTGGTAGCACCCTCAGAGTTTGTACCGGTAGCGATAGCAGTCTCAGTGCCAGTGGGGATCACAGTCTCACCCTCAGAGTTGGTGGTAGCGCCCTCGGAGTTGGTGCCAGTAGCGACCTCAGTGCCAGTCTCCGTACCGGTCTCAGTAGCAGCACCAGTGGGAAGACCAGTAGAGCCACCATCAGTAGCAGAAGCGACAGCGAGGTTGGAAACATCGAGCTGGACGGGCTCAGAACCGCAGGACTGGAGGAACTGGATATCGGGCTTGTCGGAGTTGAGAGTAGTAGGGTTGCTGGCCTGCCCAACAGCGGCGCCGTTGGTGTCGGCGAGGGGCTCGGAGTAGATGGTCTCGCCGTCGAGCTTGACATCGAGAGTGCAGCCCTCGAAAGCACGCTTGCGGGCCTCGGCCACAGCACTGACGCTGATCTCGAAGCGGATCTGGATCTGGCTGCCAGTATCGAGCTCAGTGATCTCAGGAGAAGTGCTGAACTCAGCAACGCCGTTGGCTACAGCAGCCATGCGACTAAAGTCTTGTTAGATGATTCTCCCGTACCAAACTGTCGGGGTATTACTTACACAGCAGTCTTGCCATCGGCACCAGTGACGAAGCTGCAACCCTGGCCAAGCTGGGCGGAGCCGAGATCGACGGACTGAGAGGCGGCAGGGGAGGTGGTGGAGCTGGGGGCGGCACCAGTGGTGGTGTCAATGCTGGAGGGGAGGGTAGTGCTGGACTCAAGAGCAGCCGTGCTGCTGTTGGCGAAGCGAGGGAAGTTCTGGGCGTAAGCACCCGAGGCAATAGCCGCGAGAAGACCTGAAGACAGACGCATAGTGAAACGAGTGACTATGGTTAAAGAATGACTAAAGAACGAATGAATGAGTGAGTGAGTGATGATGAAAAGAAAAAAGAAACGTCAAGGTTGATGAGTATATATAGATAATGACATTCGGGGATCCATTGTATACGACAATGGTATTTGGTGTTTTGTTTGGGTTAGTGGTAAACATCTAGAACAGCGTACCTTGCATTGAGCATTCCTCTTCGGTTAGTTCACCGAGTATCCAATAGTAACGACTAGTAAGTCAAGACATCTTCAGTGCCGATATCCCGCCTATCACTGCCCTCCCGCAATGAAAAGCATCCATAAAAAGCGTTCCTGGATCCAAGCTATTGGAATCTGAAGTATGCAAGGGAATGTCATTGAATAACGAGCACGTGGCGCTAAGCCTCCTTAGCGTTGCCGTTCAACCATGAAGCCCCTGGGACTACTCCTGATTTGCGAGACTAAGTGGATGGCTTGTCACGTTAATCTGGTAAAATTCGATTGTGGAATGCAACTATTGGGGGTTAGTCTGCATCTGTCAGAAATGTTTCGCCCCAAAGCTTGACTAAAAGCTTGATCTGGTCCATAAAGTGGAGCTGTAGGGAATCGATAGTGCCAAGGGAGGCTCAGCTACGCCATATTCGGGGCTTTTGCTTGGCATGTCATTCATTATCCAGAAGAAATTGAGGTATTTTGTGTGAGTAAACAATTTTATTGTTATGTGGGTTCAATGACTCAAAATACGTTCCCGGCGGTTTGTTGTTTTCCTAGCCAGGAGGTTTGGTTGCAATTTGCTCCTTGTCGTAGCATTGAGTGCCATCGGTCGATTGTGGACCAGCCTTTCTGGAAAATGTTGCTGAATCATGACTGAGACTTCCAAATGCTTCGTGTAACAGCGGCTATCTGACCACGCCCGTTCCAGATCGGGTAGAAACCGACCATGATGAGAGTCCACCAGAGCCATATCAGAGACACGGCAATCCATGCGGTAAATAACTGCAAGTTTGCTGTTAGTAGTAGAACAATGCATCTCAATAGGGAAGGAACTGGAGAACATGGACGACTATAGGGTAAAAGCAGATAATAAACTTGCCTCTTTGCTAAAGATGAATTTCGCTGCGTACATTGGCAATGGCCACAGTACCCAGTGACCAAGAAACGTAACAATAGCCCACCAGAGAGCATATTTAGTCCACCTAACTTGATCATTGTCGTCAAAGGTTTTATTTGATGCCATCTCAGTTGTTGTGACCTGTTCCGGTCCTTTACCTTGAGGAGTATCTGATCCACTAGAGCTCTCATCCGACTCAACAGCTAGCCTCTGTTCCTTGAAACGGCTCCAGTCATAATTATCAGGTCGTACATACGTAACAACCACGCTGTAGAGTAATGGGCTGAATAAAGACGCAACGGTGCCGTACATACAGGGTAGGGTCCCTCCAGTAGACGCGACCGTTACTTCTCCGGAAAAGGCGTATGCGGAGCCGAGCCAGACGCCGAGGCCCGTTGCCATTCCTAGGAATGCGGAGCTAATAGCGGCGAGCTTAGTCTGTTTGCGCCAAATTATGGTGAAGATGAGCGGAATTACGCCGGGACACGTTAGAATTCCTGATGGGCGGTTAGTAAACAGCGGAACTAGCGCGACTGTTGATCTTACCGAGCATGTAGAGTGTCCAGCCCATATCCACTCCGATGTAATGGAACATTGCAGTGAAAGCCGCAGCAACGACTCCAAAGAATACAACGCCAATGTGTCCCCATCGAATCACCTGCTCGTTGGAAGCTTCCTGATTGAAGTATACGCGGTATATGTCGAACGTCAGGATTGAAGAAACGGCAAGAATTTGTGCTGACAAAGTTGAGGTGACAGCCATGAAAGTCATTAGCAGAACGGCAACGGCACCCCCCTTGCCTGCGACAGCGACGGCCACATAAGGTAAGGCGAGGCCGTTTGTGACTTCGGCGCCAGTCATGAGCTGTTGCAACATTAGCAGTCCGTCGCGAATGGATATACAAGAAATTACTGACTCTCGGGTATGTAGGGAAGATAGGAAGCGCCTCAAGCCCCAGCGACGCCATTCCCACGATAGTACCAAGCGACCACGGGATGCTGAAGTAAGAGATCCCGCCCAAGACATAGCCTGGGACAACGGCGCTCGGCGACGCTGCGAAGGCCTTGAGGAAATACCCCGTATCCATCTGATCATGTTAGACTTGTCGTGCCGAGGGGGAGGGGCTGACGTACAACAACCGCGCCGAAATTGGAGGTGAGAAGGATGATGGCGAAGTATATACCCTGTTGGGATGTCATGGTGAGTAACGAACCTTCATAGTTGCCTTCAACAACATGGTTTGACTGAGCGGCGACGACGAGATCGTAAAGACGTCCGATTGAGCCGACAGATTCTGACGTTATGACCTTGGCTGTTAACCAACAGCTTAGAATAAGAATGGCAAAGGTGTGAATGTAGTCGGTGAGGAAACTATACCGGTGTCAGCAGCTGCATTAGATACGACGCTTTTGGATATTACGTTGCTTTGATGCCGCCAACGAGCGTGTAGAGGACAACACCTAGGGGAAGTAAGAAGGTCGATGCCATGATATGCATCCCGGTTCTGGGCAAGGTCAGTGGTGTGTCAAATTCAGGCTTGGAAATATTGCTCACAAAAAGGAGATGGCCGCCGATGCACCCAGAATCATGTTGATCGTATTAAGCAAATTGTTCACGATGGCCAGGAATGTGAAGCTCAAATGCGCGACGGTCCCTACACGCTTTAGTATGGCAGATTGACACCCGAAAGATGAACTACTTACCATATCTGATGCGAATGACCTCGAGAATAGTATGTGCTTCAGGGACACGTCCCTTGCAAACAGTTCCTAAGTACCCGAAGAAGACGATGACAGTTGAGCACCCGGCGCCATACCAGAATGCGCCGCTGATGCCGTAGCTGTAAGTGACTAGGACGCAACTCAATAGGGCGGTGCTCCATAGCCATGACTGTAATAAAGTCAGTATATTCACTGTTCGATAGGGAACGAGAGCGGCTTACCGAAACGACAGCCGATGCGACTAGACCTGTTCGTACTGTTCTGTTGGCAACCATGAAGCTGTGATTCTATGGTTAGTATGTGTAAACTCAACAGGCACCCAAGCTGCCTACGTTTCCACTTTGGAATTATCTTCATTCAAGGTCTTTTTCAGGACCGCGGTCAAGCCCATCATGCCTATTCAAAGTTAGCCCTCTTCGCTTCTGGCCCTGGCACAAGTGCTAAACTCACCAAAGGCAAATGCCAGACCAGCAGCTACTACGACGCCATATCCGACTGATTGGGGTAGAGGTGAGGGGACTACAGAAGGCTCGTCAGAGCGGTAGGTGAGGTCCATGGTGACGTTAATGTCAAAGAGGCAGCATAAATACTAGGGCTTACCTCCTCAACACGGGTCAGATGGACCTTTTATGCGATTTCTCCTTCACCTTGACATGATCAATTGCTCAGGATCAGCCGCGATGGCGAAATCGCACGCTTGTACGACTAACTTGTGAAACTTGAGAAGGTGATGTTACACTATCTCCAAGTGTCGTACCTGCGAGCAATCAACAGCATGAGATATCGAACTTATCTATCAAGGATACAAGACTAGTCAGCCGCTGCCTGCTTCAAGGGATCTGAGTGGTCGATATCTTGCCCCGGAATTGAATCGGAACCCGCATCGACAGGGTTCGCGCCCGGGCTTCCACATTTGGTTTAACGCCGATCACCTCATCTTGAATTGATATGTTCAACACGTTGAATTTTGTCGGACCCAAGTCTATAGATCTTTGAAGGAAAATAAAACAGAAATTGACTCCACTTGCGATGCAGGACGAACTTGTTGCGCCCAACTCGTGCAAGACCTGTCGACAGAAGCGGGTCAGATGTGACAGAGCCCTCCCAAGATGTCAGCGCTGTGCATCCTCACTGCTACCATGCTCAGGGTATGAGCGTGCGAAAAGGATTCTATGGACCAACAGCATGGCTAGCCGAGGGAAGATGATGGGCAAGGCCTCGTTCGGCACGATCGAGGATAATGCTCATGGACACGCAAGCATAGCCGTCACTGAGCTCTATACAAGATCCCCAAGTGTGTCGCATCTGGTGGAGCCAGGTCTACAAGACATCCCGAGGAGCTGTCGAGATTACATACGATACTGTGAGTCGCTTCGAGAGTATTCTTACGTTCACCGACTCACGATATTACCAGTTCATCAAGAGCTCTCCAAAGAGTGTGTCGTATACAACAACTCATCCTTCAATCCATTTCTTTCTCTCATGCCTTTAATGCCATCCAGCCAGGCCTTATCCCATATAATGATATCCATATCAGCCTTCCACATAGCACACCGACTTGACATCAGCCAGACCCAACTACAGCCAGATCATAGTGAGGTAGTGCATATAGCGCTCCTAAACAAACAGAAGGCGTTAAGATGTCTCAAGCAAGAGCTACGAGTCCAACCTGAGATTAACACCGATGCAGTAATTGCCGCAGTGTTGCTGTTTGTCAACCTTGATGTAGTCGAGTTCGGTGGTCGAGGTTGGAAGTATCACCTACGGGGCGCTGAAGAGCTCATTAGGATTCGGAAAGGGCTCGTGGTCGATGATTCAGAAAAGTGGCTACAGTATTTCGATACTGCTTGTACAACGCAAGTCACCTGCTGGCGATGAAGAAAGTCACCGTACTGACAGTCTTAGGTTCGGCATACTCGGTAGCACCCTTGTTCCGTCACATTCACTGCGTGTGGCGCCAGTTCCTTTGGACACGGGCTTACTAGATACACTTCGGAGATCCGAGCAACAGACATGGATCGGTTGTCCGGCAGACCTCCTCTCCCTCCTGCACGTCATGAATACGCTACGTACTGTATCGGATCACTCCAGCCACGCGGACGAGACTATTACTTCAGTCCTCAATGGGTTGGACAATTTCTCGCCGCGATCCTGGGCGTGTGACTTTCCAGATCCTCAGCATCATGAGTCAAGATGTCATCTCGCCCATGCATACAAAGCAGCGCTCGGCGTCTACTCCTTTCAGATTATCGAAGAAATTTTCAGTCCACCATCATCTTATTGTTCGGAGGCTTTGCGGCTTATTGAGCTCGGCATATCACACATGTCGCAGATAGAAGCAAGCGACTTCCATATCAAGAGTCTGGTATGGCCTGCTTTCGTCCTTGGCGCTGGAGCTCAAGAATTGCAAACAAGGGAAGACGTTAGGAGCATTATGCATAATATCTGGGTATCTTCATGTTGCTATAATGTTAGAACTGCCCTATGGATGCTTGAGAGGATTTGGGAGTGGGGACAAGATGGTAATGAGGGGCGTAACCAGAGTTGGTTGAGATTTATCTGGGAGCAAGGCGAAAGCTGGTTATTCCTCTGAGATGAAAAGGTTCTTAGGCAAGATCAGGTTTCATCAATCACAATGGGTTTCGAGGTGTATCTTTGGCCAAATAATAAATTTTATAATAGATCCATTTCAGATCCCATAACTCCTTCATGCATCGGTCCTCAACGCCAGGCCACCCTTCTAACTACTATCCCTCGTCTAAACCTGTCCCCTAGTTGACCGAAGCTTGGCTAAGGTTCTGGATGATGTTACCGCCATCAAAGAGACCATTAGCGGCCTTGGCGCGGCAAAGATCCTTTCCGCGCTCAATGACGTTGGCATCACACTCCAAGTTGGCCTGGGCAACACAGCTCAGTCGGCCACCACCTATGACTATCGTTAGCAATCCGCCATGAACACTACATTTGTTTCCGTTACTTACAGTTGTTACCGCCGGGAACACAGCGACCAGCCTGGCCGTTGGAAGCAGTGCAAGCGTCCTGCTTCAAGCTGGTGTTGGCGACACAGCATTCGCCGCTGGGTACAGGTCGGCCACCATTCTGGCCATTCTGGCGGGTGATCAAGACAGCGCTGCGAGGGGCGTTGCGAACACCCTCAGTGTCGACGATGCCGGCGGAGGCAACGGCAGCGAGGCCGAGAACAATGGCGGTGATGGAGAACTGCATTTTGGATGGTTGAAGAAGGGTTTTTGTGTTTGTTTTCTGGGCGATTGATTGTGATGAAGAAGATGTAGGATTTGAAATGGATTACCGACCAGCGGAAAAGAATTGAAAGTAGTGATTAGATGAGATTGTTGAGTGAGAACTGAAGATCCAAAGACCGACGACCCGAAGCTTGGGATTTATACTTTTCTCGTGAAGCAAAACACCTCCTGCGATACCTCGTTTAGGAGGCCTTGTGCCTCGTTTAGCGCTGCCATCCAAAACGCGTGCGGCGTAGTATCCCCTTGCCAAGCCAGACTCCTTCTACGGCATACCGCATATTGTCGTGAGGCTGGGGAGGGCTTGTTGAGATTGGATGAGACGAACAATGCCTGGTGTTCAGGTCGAGACCAATGAAACGGCTCCAAACAGTGAAACAGGTTACATCCATCTCTCGCTACCCCTGGTCTGGGCCCGGTAGTAGCCGCTTTGGGGTTAATCCCGACACTTCGCTTCCTCCAACGTCAGAGAAGTCATAGCTGGCTATATGCACTAACCCATTTTGGGCATAGATGCAGGGGTCAGCGTTTGTCAAAACGGGTAAGGAGCTAGATCTCCAGACAGATCTGAAGTATCTCCCTGTAGGACCAAGAATTCTGGCTATTCTCATGTTTTTAGCCGCTTTGCATGATGCTTTCCAACCAATCTATTATTAAACAATCCAACACTCAATTACTGGAAGTCGTCTAGGTCCAGACCTGGCACTGCAGTGCCTAGCTCATTCTTCTTCTGATACAGGCCCAATCGAGCCTGGAGCGTACATCCAGAGGTGTTACAGCGACGAGTTTGGACACGACCAATTATCCTCCTAATATAGACGACACTATACCCCCAAAACGGTCTTTCTGGTTTCTCGGTTGGGAGGCTCTGCTGATTCATTTGTTTCATGAGGAAGCCCAGAAGTCTGCAAGAGCATTCTTCACTGCATCCAACGCGTCCCTCGATAAGATCGTCTACCAAGCTGTATATCTGGGAAATCATCTGATCTATGATTTCGCAACGCTTATTGTTGATTTTCTCTAGATTTGAGTCAGTGATCGCATTCCTCTAGCGCATAGTGTCATGAGCTTACCAAGAATTTGAGCCGGCATAGGTAGATGAGTCTCGACGAGCCCATTTGTGGTCAGTACTGCGGATCTCGTCAATCCCTTGAAACATTCCTGGTCCCGAGCCATCCAGGCCATGAACAACATGGTAGTTTCCCCGTCACCAAATAACCCTTTGTGCATGATATCATCTTCAGGAGACGGCAAACTTCTGTATGTTTTCCTATTGCCTATAGATGCGTGCCAGTAACTGAACACTATCTTGACAGCCTCGAGGCAGTCATAGTAATCGACTATAGCTCCGATCTGTGCTATAATCGCCAGACCCGGCTGTTTCGGGACGCAGTAGTGATGCCCATGAATGATATCAAGAAGTATGAGGAGAGCTTCGGCATTCCATTCTGACGTTGTAATCTCCAAGAGACCTTGTTCGTTTAGTTTCGATTCTTTGAAGTTGCCTTGAATCGCTTTTCGAAAGACTGGTGACGCAAGGCAGAGATGTCTTGCAGATACTCGAAAAACAATCTGGTTCGGGTCGCCATTCTCTTGGTATGGCTGTAGCGATCTCAAGTCATCGTTCGTCTTCGGTGGCTCCGTAGTGTCACCCTGTTGTATTTCAAGCGGTATGGGACTGTTGGCTTCGTCGGCCGTGCGTATCACTGATACAACCTCATCTATTGGTGCGCGAAGTAGATGCAAGTTCGGCTTCTGCAGAATCAGCAAAGCATCTGCTCGCGGATCTAGCAAAAGAAGTGAATCCCTCATGATAAATTTGGAGAGCGCGTCCAACCGACCAAATATTCAGAGTTGCAAAGTCAAGGTCAGCGTGTCCCGCCACGAGGAACCTTTTAACAACCCCATAATTGAAATTGAGGAGCTGAAAGAAGCTTTACGCCCCAGAAAATATGCAACAAGCATACGTAAATTATGTTTATAGCCTGCTTTGTGTGGAACGCCTCCAATATCGATGGTTAATCATATACAACTGCTTTCAAGATGCTACCGGGTAAGAACCCTCTTTCTTGGTTAATAGTGGCGCTATACTCATTCTGTAATGACGTGCAGGGATAAAGCGCTTGACGTCTCCATTTTGTTGGCAGCAGAGTGAAGAAGAAGTAATGCCTGAGGCATTAATAACATTAGAGCAGCATCTCTTGAGACTTGTCCACTCGCAAGCTAGTATCAATCTAGAATTAGTATACTCTTGACAACGACTATCAATGTCATTTTATGGCTCTAGTGGCTCACA